TTCTAAACGCTAGAACTACAAAACGATTTTTTTTTCTTTTGTGACGTAGATGTCTATACGAAAGTGTTTAGTCACGGATAGAGTGTGTGTGAGAGTGGCTTCCCCTTGGAAGTGGTGTGCTGGCGTGAAAACAAGTGTGTGAACGAAGTAGTGTGTAAGCAGTGTGGTGTCGTGAAAACATGGTCTATCTACTAGTCAATGTTTCTTCTTGTGATGTGTTCGTGTGATGGATAAAAAATATACACCTATAAAACGAATTCTAGTTGTGGAGTGTATTTCTTTAAAATTGTTACAGCGAGTCCAAAATACAGAAGGAGCCGGCTGTAACACTTTGCTAAAATTAAATTGTGGCGACTTTTAAATGGATCAATGTGTTATTGTAGTTTTAGTAACTAAATCAACTAAAGTATTTGGTCTGTAATTAAAGTGTGAAAAAATATTTATAACTGTTAGAACTGTTAGACCAGTTCGCTAATCTTAAAGAATACATTTTATTTATCGTGTAGTTTTGTTTGAACTCATGGTTCAACATTACAGAAAAACGCACTTCAGGTTTCTTATTTGTATTCTATAAACAGAAGGCTCTATATATCCTCATGCATACATCTGTCTATGTCATAATATATACATTGTTCTCTATTCAGTTTGACATGATTCAGATTGTGTTGAAATTATTTTTTTTTGCTTTGATTATGTTATTTAAATGTTAGAAAATGAAAAAAAATATATATTTACAAATCATTACAACAAAATGAATTTTAAAAAAAAATGGTGTTGCCTTACTAAAGTTATATGCAGGTAATGATAAAATGTCTTATATTATTTTAATTGCTTTTTATATGTTATTTTAATATACAATTTTGTAACTTGGGTAATCTACATTGTGTTTAAGTTTAAAAAAAATAATATTTCTAATTTATTTTTCTTAAGTAGTATTTTTTTATGTTTACTTCCACGTTGAAAAGGGAGATAATATATTTTTTGTAACAATGTATGATAAGGAGACATTGTTTATTTAACTGTATATAATATACGTTGTCATTATTTTGTATTAATGGGATTGGTTTGTAATAAAACAGAAACATATATTTTTATTTCCGCTTAAATAATGTATTGAGTTTCACTGATAGTCAAACCCATGAAAATAGGACCTACTTACAATTTACTTGCAATTCACAACCACATTAAAAGGCAAAGACACAAATAAAATTACAAATACAAAAAAACTCAGTGAAAACAACGTACAGCTTAAAATTGAAAAACAGCATCTAGACATGGAAGACTGGCATACGAATGTTATCAAATAATGGCTGACTATATTTACCAAACACCCCCACCCCCCTCGTATATACACACGACAGATAATATTGCTTGACAAAAATATCATTCACCCAAAAAAGGACTGGATGATGTTAAAAATGGACGCGATAATTTTTTTACTTAAATAAATTATTTATAATCAATTACAAATTAAAATACCAAGACAAGCAGCACAGGTCTAGGAGAAATCTAACGTCCACCACCACCACACTTGCCCCCTCTCCCAACACAAACCAACGGAAGACAGAGCAGGTCAAAGAGACACCATTTAGGGGGGTGACACCAAGGCAAAAAATAGCAAACTATATAGAGAAAAATGATAATTCCACTTAATTAAGTGATTAATTCGAGTGTTAAATACTCTTTTAAGAGGTGCAAATCGTAACTTTGAGGGGGGGGGAGGTGCAAATCGAAAATTGAAAGTTTGTCCCCGGGAAGGGTCGCTACGACTCTGGGGTGGGGGTTGACACCATTAAGTGCCGCACCGGGCGACACCCGACCTCAACACGCCACTGCATAAACCATCAAACATTTCTTCTTAATTTAAACACGCAATCATGTTGTTTTCTTTTCCTATTTGCCAAGTAAGACTAGGCTGTTTTTATCTTATCAAATTGTATTGTAGAAAATTTTATAGAAAATGTTAATCACTCAATATTCGCGTTAAAACAACACATTTTCAATAAACATCGTACGTGAGTGTGGCGAACGTGAGGAAATTAGCACTTTGAAGTTGGACTACATTAGATCGATAATTAGTATTGAAGTCATACTATAATTAAAACAAATAGCATCTGCCCTCGAGATAGTGACATCAGTATAGACCGTGGGTTACTTACACATTTTAAGTGTGACAATCGAAACATGAGGAAGAGATTGAATTATAAGTATAATCAAAAACACTCACTTACATTTAAATATAGTCGCTATGTTTATTAGTTTCCTACACATGCATCTTCTTATAAACTGCACTACACCTACTTAAATTACTATGTCTCTCCTCTTTCCATCCAACTTATTCCACTTTAGCCAATTTACTGCTGATCTAGTTTTGTTTACACTAAGTTCCGAGATTGACTACGCTTTATTCAACTGGTACCAATAAAGAAATTCACTCAATTGCTGACTTATTCAATAACTTTTCTTCAACTGACTGCCACTTTCATCTAAATTTGACCTCTCGTGTCTACAGTCACGTGACTCACCTTGATTGGTCAAGGCTAGCCATTATTTTGATGAGTTAATTTAAACTTGACCAATGGATCGCTACTATTTTTACCTTAACATTTTCTCTCTAATCTTTAACATTGAATCACTGTATAAGTATCTTTTTCTGCTTTATAGATTCAAATAAAATATGTCAGAAAAAGTTGCAATATTTCTTAATTCAAGCACACATCAGATAAAGCGAAAGACCAAGCGAAAGCATACAAAAATTTAAAAAGATAACATCAAGTACTTAGCATCAGACATAACAGAATATGCAAAAAGATAATCAATGTTTCGAAAAAAAAGAGCAAAAATAGATTGTTTAAATCCCACTTTTATTCTCCTTTATAAAAAGGTGGGTTCATTAAACTCAATTGTCGCTCTTATTCCTTCCTTCCTTTTATAGACATCTCATAATTTATTGTTGCCTAGCAATCACTTTTTATTGATCAAAATACCGTGTAAGATCAATGATTGTGTGATGATTTGGGGTATTTGGGTAAATATTTGCTTAAGTTTGGGACATGGTGTGGTGTGGCTAGAATAATGAGGTTTGGTATGGAATGGTGTTGGGTTTGTTCGGAGTTCTATTCATGTGCTGTGATGGTTGGTTTGTTGATAGTTTTGAGAGTGGGGGGTAAGTAGATTGGGGTTTGGTCTATGTGTGTAGTGGAATAGGCTGTGGTGTATTGGGGATGGTGTGGGATAAGTGATTAGGTGTGGATCGTGTGATAAGGGGTGTGAGATGTGGGCAGTAGACTGGGTTTTAATGTACGTTGTAGGATATAATCTTTTTTATACATAATGGGGTGTGCGAGGATGTGGTTTTTTTTATCTACTCCGTCTTGTGTTTTGTATGTGTGTGGTGAATCGTGAGTATGAGTGATTGGGTGTGTATTGTTGGGTTAGTGGGGTGATGTTTGGATTAGGCTAAGTTAGGCTATATAATGTGATGTGTTGGTAAGAGCAGGGCAAAAGTTGGAGTGTGGGACGGGTGGTGTCGGATTTGGCTTGTCGTTGTTAATGTCGTGCGGGTTGCAATGCATTTTTTTTTTTTTTTAATTTCCCCTTCTGTTACCCATTACATTTAATTAATTTTGATATCTAGTTTTGTGAAATTCATATTTTCTTTCACGAGAATTTCCAATAATCGTTTTTTCTTTTTTGTCATACTTACATTTTCCATCCTCCAAAAAGTACACTGCAGAGTTCCGCACTGTGGCGAAACACGAGTATGTTGATTTTCAACAGTTTATATTTAAATCCGGATAAAAATGACGACTTATTGTTTAATATATACACTAAAGGCTATTGTTGGTACTAAATTTACAATTGTACTGAGTGATTGTCAAACAGGATCATATTTATAAAGACAACGTCAGTTAAATGTCATATACGCCAATCAAAAGTAGATAAGCTGGTTGTTGAAATAAAACATAAAAGCAAATTATTTAGGATTTATAGTACTGTTTATTTTGTTTATGGGCATGTTATATGGTTTCCTTAGATTAACATTATAAACATTTCACCTTCGCTTGTATCAAATATTTTTTTTAAAGATCCTCATTAACTTATATATTGCAAATAAGTTCCAAATTAATCAATATTAATAAATAAATAAACCGGGAGTGATCTCCCCTAAACTTTCTCGAATATTCTTATTTAAAACAACAGGGGATGGGAACTCGGGCTATAGACATGATTTTTAATCCATTTTAAATACTTAAATTTTTTAAAAATAGAATAAAATCTCGTAGACAAAAGAATTGCACACCAAGTGAACGCCAAAAAAAAGTGCATAATAGTGCGCAATATTATTAGTACTTTAAAAATTTACATTAGTTTTTTGAGAAATCGGAAGTAGCGTAAATTACTACTTCCGGTCAACGGAAATTACTCAAAATTTAACAGAAGGTAGAGAATTAGATCTTATACTTAGATGTGAAATTTCATTTATCTATATGAAATAGTACTCAAGTTATAGGCTTTTGAAAAATTCAAAGTAGAAAAAGTACCACTTCCGGTTATCGGAAATCGCTCAAAAGTTGATACGGATCTATGATTTTGATAAAATACTTATATATGAAATTTCATCAACCTAGCTGTAACGGTACTCAAGTAATCGTGTTTACACACGGACACACACACAGACAGACAGACACACAGACATACGGACAGTATTGCAAAGCCCAGTTTTTCAGACTGGATTACGCATAAAACCTCTTAATTTTGATAAATCTGGATTGATAATTTTTGCCCGATTAAAATAAGTCCTCGATACTTCGGATGTGATGAAGGACTGAGGTGCAATACAGTGAAAATTGTTAAAATTCCAAGTGATTTTTGTGCACGATTACAACACTTTCTCTATACTTCGTATATACGAGAAAGTAAAAATGTAGCACTTGTTAACATTACAATAAAAATGAGATTTCTGCTTGGAATGAAGATTGTGTTGTAATGTATAAAAGCTAGACAACAAGAAGAGCACAAGAAGAATGTGTACATTCACAATGTGAATTGGAAGTGATTGAACATAACACGTCTCCAGTTTTCATATAAACCTCAATTGTTGTTGAATAATCACGATAATTTCCTCTAGTCTCAATAATACCGGGCGTTGACACCTCACCGCCAGATTTGAGAAGAAGCGAAGCATTTAGAGTACGAAATCCTCTTTGTCTTACTGTAAGACTTGCTTTATACAGGCCATCAACAGGGGCGGTAAACTCTCCTGTGTTTGGATCAAAATGGTTTCCTACGTTACGTTCTACAGCACTGAATGTAAAAACGTTGTACTGAGTCTTGTTAGGTGTGCCAAATGGGTTCAAGAGATAGTGACCTTGTGAGGCAATAAACCCAGGTGTAGAAATTTCCTTTTGGTAATTGGCTGCAAGAAATATAATACACACTTGTCTCTGTTCATTATAATATATTACTCTAACACTAGGTATTACTATATCAAGCGACTATTATACGTCATACTATAACAGAGTACTGTAGTTAACCCATAATAGAAAATTATATTTATTTTATTGTGTTCGTACTACTGGTAAAATTTGGTTTGACAAATTTTGTAGTTGGGTTTGTTTACCATTTTCACTTAACAACATGGCATCACGTCTATATTATTTTATCCCTGATATACACAATCAAATAATAGAGAAAATACAGCAGAAATAACAGTAAATTAATGGACACTAAAAAACAGAAATTCTATGAACTAAAAATGTAAAAAGTGGAAATTTAATAACAAGAACAATCAACTAGCTGAGAAAAAGCATACGCAGTGCTTATTTACGTTCGTTTAATGGGCGTGTTGCAGAATGAAGGAAAAAAAATAGAGTTAGTTATGTACAATTAAAAAACAAAATACGGTTCTCTTTCGAACCTTACAGCCCATGGGGCAAGTAAAGTAGAGTTTTTTTATCGTATAATTTCTGCTACATTTTTAAATCAACTATTGCATACATATAAATTACCTACCAATAGCTTGACAATTCAGTGACAACTTCAAAACATCTTTTCCCAGAGTTTCATTCTAAGAAAAGAACAATTTTAGATAACTATTAATTTTGAATAACAAAAAACAATCCAACTCAGAAATGACTATTCGTTTTTTTCAGACAACGTTCTTTGGGGAGGGGGAGGGGGGAATTTAAACTTCAAAACAGTGAACACATATACTGTATGGGATATAAATAATACATTATTTAAAAAAATATATATAAGGTATTTTTTCATTGTCTGTAGTATATTTTGTTAAACTAAAATAAAGGATTATTTACAGCCACTTAGTTATAATGTTTAATAACATTAATTGTATGTATAAGTTTATAATTTTTTAAGCAAATAAAACCAAATCATCAACAAAATGTATCTTTATAAAATCTAGTTGACACATAAATAAAACATAGCATTGCCATTTAAATACATTAATTAAAAATGTTTGTTGTCGGTGTGATACAAAAGTTAGAACTATACACAGGCTTATACTTTGTTATGTTAATAATTGTGAATATTTTACAGTTAAATTAAATAAGGAAAGAGAAAAGTATTCAACTTTGTATAAGAAACATAATAAATATTCATTTTACCTTCATCGAATTTTCTTCTCTAGACTCATAGCTTCTATTGTATGTTTCAATCAGTTTGTCCATGGACAACAATCTTTGTTGTAGAAGTTTACATAACACAACATGCTATTGATTATAATTATTATCTGCATTTTACTTTTGGGTAAAAGTAGTATAATTTTTAATTCAAAAATTAATTAATCAAAATGTTTGCAAATGTAACATGGTTGTAATACTGGAACTGATAATATATAATGCAAATAATAATTTATTTTGTTTTTAACTCACCTTAGATATTAACTTTTCACATGTCTTTGTTATATACATAATATTTTTCTTTCCATCTTCTTGTACTGTAGCTATCAAACCATGTGGCTCCTGATTTCTTGTGATAAATTTTCTGCTTTATCTGTGTATTCTTGTGTCGCTTTGTTTTATTTTGTTTAAAATATTTTCATGTTCTTTTAAATCTAGTGTCATTTTGCCTAGTTCATTGTTTGTAGTTGATTCTTTTTCTTCTAATTTTTCAATTACTTTGCTAAGCACATCCATTTTGTTATTTTCTTCATTTAATTGTTTTCTCAAGTTTTTTAAAATCCTGTTTTTGTTTCTTAGAACACTTTTCAATTTTTATCATCATGGCACTTTGTTCTGTAACAAAGTCATCTTTCCATTGTTTTATTTCTGATAAGCCATTTTCACTCTTTTGTTTTGAGTCTTGAAGAGATGCTAGTGTTGTTTCAATATCCTTCAGTCTTTCCGTTAATTCTGAATTATATATATACATATATATACATATATAGTATTATTATATAATTATATATATATATATATATAAATATATATTGTTTAGAAAATTATTTTTAAGTATTTAGACAAAGGTATATTTTACAGTTTTATTATTATCTTTATGTAGCATTTAGTTGTATTGAAAACTTTATAACACAAACACAAACACACACACACACACACACACACACACACATATATATATATATATATATATATATATATATATATATATATATATATATATATATATATATATATATATATATATATATATATATATATATATATATATATATATATCTTTATTGTTAACCATTTTGGTCTTTTACATATGTGCAAGTTTAAATTTCGCTAAACAATTATTGATGTTAAAAATGTATCCATACACATTGTATTACTTTTATTTCTTCACTGTTTAAATGCCATATACAAACTTTAATTCTGAAAAAAATGTATACCAAGTGTAGAGTCTTTTGAAATATTTTCATTTCTGTCTTTCAAACATTTACTGTCTGGTGTTGTCTGTTCTTTTGAAATCACTGAGGGAGGGTACATTTTGGTGGATTCTGTCAACAAGAAATAATATTTGCTAATACTTTTGTTCATATAAATCCATATTTTTCACTAAAAAGAAAGTTAAATACTGGTAACGAGTAATGATGGGAATTTGTATTAACTATTTATATCTTTAAAATGTTTTTAATACATTTAAACACATGATGATTTTATAGTAGACAACTAAAACAATTTGTAAATTCTAAACAAGAGCAAATTATTAACAATTAATAAATAAAAAAGATATGAATATACCCATTAACATATAAGTGTGTTCCATGATTGTGCTTTGTGCTCTTGTAACCAAAATTAGCAAATCATTCATTGTCATATTGGTGTCAGAAGTCTTGTCTAAATATCCCATAGCTCTTGTTTTAATCTGCAAAGGTTGAGAATAATAGTAGGACTTATTTTAGAACAACTGCCATGTAGCGCCTTTTAATACCACTGGTCACATAAATTGAAGTTAAGGAATAGGCCCAGAAGCTGGTGAATTAAAACAGTGTTAATATAAAAGTTTTATTGGCTGCCTTAATTTATAAACCAAATAGTTTAATGACTTATGTTTTTGGAATAAAATTATGCTTTACTTTTGTATTTATAATAGATTGACGACAGAAGCCTGTGGTTGTATATAACACATTTAATGGGTCTAACTACCACGATGGTAATACACAGAGAGTACGGAAGGAAGTACACGAGGGACATCACTCAAGATAACAATATTATAAATATAACTAATACAGAAGAGTGAGTTCCCTTGACCTCACAATTATTTCAATCTATTACATCCCTTTACCCTTAGAACACAATAACACATCTCTCAATAGAACAATTGATAGTATCCTAAAATCACCAATTATATTGTAACATGAACACTATGGTAGATTACATCCTTACAAACAATGCACAATATGCCATAACATAATCAAAATACAAAACAATAATGTCAAAGTCCTTTTGACCTTTAGAATCATAGGTCTAACTTATTTGGGACTTTGATTGTCCTGTTTGACCTTCTCAGTAGCTTTTGATTTGGTGACTCAATATTCTGACCATTTGGATTCTCTATCTCAGGAGGTCTAGGATTTAAATCATTAACTCCAGAATTTACATTTTCTGACTCCAGACAACTTGGTTCACTCATATCAACAGAACTTGATTGTGGAACAAACTGAGTTGGTGTGAACTGTTCAGATTTGGTGGGATTGACAGATTCACACTTATTATCTGCACAAGTTATTTTTAACTTTATAAGACACAGGTCCTGTACATTGAACAATTTGACCTGGTATCCATTTTTCCTTTCTCCCATAATTTCTTAGATACACATTCTTATTAACACCAAATTCTCTTTCAATGCATGAGTTGTCATGATTTAATGGAACTATTTTTGAATTGGCATCTGAAAGTATTATGCTGTTATTCAGATCCTTAACTGACATAGATTTCTTTGATTGATCAATTTCCTCATGTAATCTGATAGTGCTTTTTGGTAACCAAAAATACTGTTTATGAGTAATATTCTGGACCATATCACTTTGCAACTGTGATCCAGTATTTGAAGTGGGTGTATTAAATGGCAAAAATCTTTTTTTCTTCTTTTGATGTTACCCTTTTAGTTTCTGTAAGTGCTAATGATGTTAGCAAAGTTGTTTGATGATCACATTCCTTCTTACTAATGTATTCTCTTTAAAACATTTGAAATTGCCATAACACCATAATCATTTATTAAGTTACAAGTACTTTGTTTAGGCAACTCTGACTGATAATGGACTGCATCTTCTCCATCTTTTATATTATCTTCACAAAGGGTTTTATTTCTTATTTAATATGGCCTTAAGTCATCATTCACAGACTCTTCAGGCCAACCATTCTTACAGTACTCATATACTTTTATTAAGCACTCATCTTTGTGTTTCTCTTTTAAATCATTCACATTTATATTGGAGTTATCCATGATAGTGAAGAGAACAAATACATCTTCTGGTACATAGCTCAGGCTTTGGTTTTTTAAAGGTAATCTACTAAGACTATCTGCACTATTCTCAGATCCAGGTTTGTATTTCAATTCATAATTGTATGCAGTTAGTGTGATAGCCAATCTTTGAATCCTTGGTGAGGCATGCTCAGGTAGGGTTTTGTTTTCTCCAAATAAACCTAGCAATGGTTTATGATCTGTAAAGATGGTGAACTTCCTACCAAACAAAAACTTATGAAATTTCTTAACACCAAAAATGATGCCTAAGCCTTCCCTATCTAACTGAGAATAATTTTTCTCAGCCTGGTTCAAAGATCTACTGGCAAAAGCAATGGGTCTGTCACCCTTCTCATCCATGTGGGACAAGACTGCTCCTACACCATCTGGTGAAGCATCACATGTCAATACAAGTCTTTTCCCTGGGTCATAGTGAGTTAGCAAGGTGTCAGCAGACAAAGCCTCTTTTGCTGTATTAAAAGCAGCTTCTTGTTGTTTACCCCAGTGCCAAGTTGCATTTTTCTGTAGCAGCTTGTACAGTGGTGATAGTTTACCAGACAGATTTCCTATGAACTTTGCATAGTAATTTATCAAGCCCAAAAAAGCTCTTAGTTGTTGGGTATTTTCAGGTTTGGGTGCTTCTTTAATGGCTTTTGTTTTCTCAGGTTGAGGTCTGATGCCTTGCTTGCTTAATATATAACCAAGAAAACTAATTTCTGTCAGCATGAATTGACATTTATCTTTGTTTATCTTTAAACCTTTTTCAGCAACTATTTTCAATACTTTATCAAGTGTTTTAAGATGTTCAGTGTCATTCTTACCAGTTATGTACACATTGTCAAAGTACACACAAACATTTGGAATATCCTTAAAAATACTGTCCATGACAGCATGGAAAATTCCAGGGCTAGATGATATGCCAAAACATAGTCTTTCATATTGGTAGAGTCCTTTATGTGTGTTTATTGTCGTATAGACTTTTGAATCTGGATGCAGTTCTAGTTGAGTGTAAGCATGACTAAAGTCTAATTCAGTGAATTTGTCTCCTCCTGCCAAATTCAAAGAAATTTCCTCAATGTTAGGTATAGGGTACCTATTTAGCTCTATTTGCTTATTCAGTGTAGTTTTATAATCTCCACAAATTCTTATAGAACCATCCTTCTTTAACACTGGCACAATGGGTGTCGCCCAATCGGAATAGTCTACCTTCTTTATAATGCCATTAGATTCCAATCTACTTAGCTCATTTTCAATTTTATTCCTCATTGCATAAGGTGGAACTCTAGCTTTGCAGTATCTTGGATTTGTGTCTTTAATGCTTAACTTCACTGTTCTATCATTTAGTAATCCAGAGTTACCAAAAACACATTTATTTTCAGATATTACTTTATCTAGTGAAGTAAGACTAGATTCTTTTCCATTGTTCAATGAACAAATACTCTCCCAATTTAACTTAAGATCACTTAACCAGTTCCTACCTAGTAATGGCGGTCCATTTCCTTCAACCACAAGAAGAGGAAGTTTAACACTTTGACCATTATAACTTACATGAACCATACACTCTCCTATTACCGGAACATTGTCACCAGTGTATGTTGTTAGACACTTGTGACACGGCTGTAGAGACACTGATCCTCCTATGACAGCGTCAAAATCTTTCTTTGTTATGACTGTTAGAGATGCTCCAGTGTCAAGTTGGAAGCTGGTGCTCTTACCGTTGATATTAACTGGTACATTGATGGGAGCATGACTTATTGATTTCACAGAGAATAGATTGAAATCCGGCTGCGAATCAGTTTGAGCATTTTCACAGGTAGAGTGGTTCATTGGTTGGGTTAGGTAGTCTTGGTGAGAGTTAACATAGTGCTGCTTTTGGTTGCGGTACTGTCTTGACTGGCTAGATTTAGCAACAGACGAAGACTTTGCAAAGCAGGCCTTGGCAATGTGACCTTGCTTACCGCACTTATAACAAGTTGCTAACTTGAACTTGCACCGATGAGATGCATGGGGACCTTTGCATCGATGACATTTTTGATAATTATTACTAGATTTAGATCTAGGATTTGAACGAGCAGGCTGTTTAGCATAAGTTGGAATGCTCTGATGGGGTTGATGTTTATTGACTAACCTGCTGTTTACTGCATGGATCTCTGAAGGTGCTAGAGATTTCGCCGCATCTGATGACTGCTGGATTGAAGTTGCAAGTTGTATTGCTTTTTCTAATGTTAGATCTGACTCGAGCAGCAACTTTCTTTGAATATCAGGGCTGTTTACACCTGTCACAAACTTTTCACATAGTCTGTCAGACAGCGTATCGCCGAATTCACAAAATTCACTTAAATGACGTAAAGCAGCAACATATTCTGATATTGACTCGTTTGGTTGACGAGTCCTACTGTCAAATCTAGCTCTACATAAAAACTTTGATGGGGTAGGCGCATGGTGGTCTGTTAGCAATTTGCTCAGCTCGTTAAAGCTCTTGGTAGTTAGACTAGCTGGCGCGGATAAGTCTTTTAGTAGCCTAAATTGTTGAGGCCCTATGACTGTTAACAAAACAGCTCTCTTTTTGGCTTCTATCGTCACGTTGTTAGCTTCTAGGTAAAAGCTTAACCTCTCTAGGTAATCTTGAATGATTTCATCATTCGCATCAAATTCTTTTATTTGGCCATACAGCGCCATAATTCTAGAAATAATTAGCTAATAAGCTCTAGCAAACCTCTTTTTTGCGTAAGTAGGTGCTCTTTCTAGTAGATGTTTATCCTTCGTCGCCAGTTATAATAGATTGACGACAGAAGCCTGTGGTTGTATATAACACATTTAATGGGTCTAACTACCACGATGGTAATACACAGAGAGGACGGAAGGAAGTACACAAGGGACATCACTCAAGATAACAATATTATAAATATAACTAATACAGAAGAGTGAGTTCCCTTGACCTCACAATTATTTCAATCTATTACAGTATTAAAATAGAATACATGTTAGTAAACATGATTAAAGGCATCACAATGAGAAATAGAACAAAATTAAAATTATGTAAATAAAAATGTTTTGATACTCAGTATTGCATGTGAATAAAAGACAAACTTAGAAAATAGAAATCATGGGATATTAACTACTTTAAAAGATTACATTAAACATGGTTATACAGTGTTATAAATTGTATGTGTATAGCAAACATGGAGGTCTATATAATTTTGTGTTAGGGTATAATAGATTATATAAATTAAAGGATTCTGAAATAACATGTTTTTTTTAAATGCAATATTATAACTGTCAAAGCGTAGTGAACATATACATATCTGTTTGTATTTACCTGCTGTACAAAATCACTGATGCTACTCTGTAGATGAAAACTTGACTCGTCCAATAGCTCGAGCTGGGTAGTTAAATGTTTCTTTAATGGGTCTGTCATCTGCATGAATTTTATCTTGTTAAAGATCTTTTATTTTTTTTAATTTTTTTTTGTTTCATAAAAAAATGTTTTAATTGCGATTTAAATGTATCTTAAACCCTTAGAACTTAGATCTAGTTCTTACACATTAAAACAATATCTAAAAATAGGCTGCTATACTGTTATACTTATAGAAATCGAATAAATCATATTACAGTATTAACATTATTTTATTTTAAGTTGAATTAAAATATATTGAAGAAATACATTAGGATTTTCAATTTTAAAAAAAGAATGTTAATTTATACAAGATACACACATTTTTAGATTAACGTCATATAATAATACAATAACAGAACAGTTTTCCTTTTTGATGTAGCTCAAACGGTTAAATAGTTATGATTTTTTTTCGTATTAAAAAATGTGATTTTTTTAACATAGGATTTTTTCCTATTTCTGTGATAGAGTTTTTTTAAGCGTTTACTAAAATTGTCCTAGCTTGTAAACCATATGGTCAAATTTGTTATAACTTTGCAATGTCTTTATTTATTATATATGGAAGCATAATAAACAATAAAATTAGAAATTTATGGGCAGAGTTAAACAAAAACAGAAGTAGAACAGGGTACCCCCCCTAATTTTTCATATACAGTGCATTCATACAATCTCAGTTAAAATTTTAACTATTCCAAAAATTAAGCTCAAACTTGCTGAGAATGTTGAGCTATGGATGTGTCAGTTATTACAATCAAAATAATATTCATAACTGAAAAGTTTTTTGTTTTAACTGCTACAAAGCTGATAGATTATGCAATTTCGCAAAACTGAAGTCTTGTTGATGTGAAATGCAACATGATGGCAAATTTGAGTTATTAAGCACTTAAGTCTCAAAATTTGCCTGGCTCTAGATGACTCTATTCTTAAACAGAAACAATCAAAATATGTGTTTAAATCTATCTGTTTGACAAAAAATAAGGGGTGGAACAGGGTACACCCCCCTATTTTTAAATACGAAATTTGTTCATACAATATCAGCTTAGGTCCAAACTATTTGAATCTAAAGCTAAAAACTAACCAGAGTGAAGCTCTGAAATAAGTGTGTTTGATGGTTCTATCTAAATAGTTGACAAATAGGTAAAAGATGGTAAAAAGGTAAAACGCTGAGTCATCGACGCGCCTGACATACTTGAAAAACTGAACTAATATATGAAAATAAAAATGATGGCAAATTAGATCTATTAGAAATGTAAGGTCTTTTATTTGTATAAATGTAATTAACTTATTAGTCTACTTATATATATAGTTTAATTAAAAAGATGTGTTTCTGTCTATTCATTAGTATTTTACATTTCAGAAGAAGTTCAACATTGGTTGGTTTTAACATGATATAGAATCTAGAACTAGTTCATATTACTAAACTTTCAATGTACTGCTTCAAAATTTATTTAAGTTATTTAAAAAAATATTACTTAATTTGTCTGAATAAAAGGTGAACACATTTATTGTAATAGTTTTAATTCCTCTTTACATAGTGTTCCCTCATTAGGCCATATAACTGCTCATCATATCGTAGAGATGTGCTGGTTTTAGAAGTGTAGGTTCTATCTGGAAAAGTAAACAGTACATTATTTGCTTTCACATCAAAATAAATAAAATGGTTTTTCTGGAGACACTAAAATTAAATATTGAACATTTATTGCTATTACCGCACCAAACCTCCCCCCCCCCCCCCCCTCTACTCCACTACCTTCAATATCAAAACAGCGTTTGCCACTATCGCCGGCGGCAAAACATCGTTCGACACTATCGCCGGCGGCAAATCGCCACTATCACCGGCGGCAAAACATCGTTCGCCACTATCGCCGGCGGCAAAACATCGTTCGCCTCTATCGCCGGCGGCAAATCGCCACAATCGCCGGCGGAAAAACATCGTTCGCCACTATCGCCGGCGGCAAAACATCGTTCGCCACTACCGCCGGCGGCAAAACATCGTTCGCCACTATCGCCGGCGGCAAAACATCGTTCGCCACTACCGCCGGCGGAAAAACATCGTTCGCCACTATCGCCGGCGTCAAAACATCGTTCGCCACTATCGCCGGCGTCAAAACATCGTTCGCCACTATCGCCGGCGGCAAAACATCGTTCGACACTATCGCCGGCGGCAAATCGCCACTATCGCCGGCGGCAAAACATCGTTCGCCACTATCGCCGGCGGCAAAACATCGTTCGCCACTATCGCCGGCGACAAAACATCGTTCGCCACTATCGCCGGCGGCAAAACATCGTTCGCCACTATCGCCGGCGGCAAAACATCGTTCGCCACTATCGCCGGCGGCAAAACATCGTTCGCCACTATCGCCGGCGGCAAAACATCGTTCGCCACTATCGCCGGCGGCAAAACATCGTTCGCCACTATCGCTTGCGTCAAAACACCGCTCGCCGCATTTTTTTTCTATTACCTCCCTTGCCACTTTCGCTTTCAAATAAACACTAACGGTACCATGAAACAGTAGTTTTAACAAATGGCGAACAAGAATTTCGCTTTAACTGACAAAATAAATTTGGGAAAATCCAATAATTTTAAAAAAAAACAGAACTTATTAGGTATTGTCTTCTGATACGTTGATAAGGGCATATTTTTGTAGTTTAGTTGTTAGTGTTACTTCTACTGTGTATCCTGCTTGCTAACATCAACATTGGGCCAGTGTGTTTTACCAATATGTTTATTTTTTGTTTATGACCATGTAATAGCGGGGTTTCCCGTTTAATAGTTTTCAGTTTTGGTTTCATATTCATGTTTTTCACTGTTGGCCATATAAAATAACGTCCAACTACACTACATAGAAAAGATTTGAGCAATTCTAAAATGAGTTACGTAACCAGATGGTGTTTTTAAGATATAATCAAATCATAGTGTCAACACATCTCATTATCTGCTTTTATATGGTCCCAACATATTTTCCAATCTACTATCATTAATTAGGAACCAAAGTGTGATGATTAGAGCGACATTTCTAGATACATAGGAAATGATGCGTATCCACTGCTGTTTTGTATAGCCGTTAAACAAGTAGATACTGATTATCTTATAGGATGCATACATTTAATTGTTGTCTCCCTTTGACCAGTCTCTTTCTAGCCTCTAAGATCCTCTCATGTGTACAGTTGTGGCTTAAGTCAGTCAATGTCGCTCAGCTGTTTACAGTTTTTAATGAATTTGTTTAGAGAGTTTGTCCCGTCTTGTTTGTCCTTTGTTTTTCCTTCACCAATACGTTATCTTAATCGTCGTGTTCCCTGGTGTGTTTTGTACTGGCTGACCTGCCGTTAGTGTGTAGGGGGAGAGGGGCGGGTGTGGTGATAGACTTTAGAGTTTTCGTAGACTTGTCAGTTGTGTTCTACTTGACTGGCTAATGCTTTAATTCATAATTTAAAAAAGATAATTAATATAAGTAAAAAATGTCTTAAGTCCCCGTAACCGCAACCAGTCGTGTTTACAGTCCCGCTTTGGGGACTTTTTTTGTGAAACAGTTTTTTTATGTTGTTTTTTATATCCTAGATGTTGGTTTTTAGTAAAAGGTAGTCAGCCATTTATCAAAGTTTGGTAACATTCGTGTGCTAGTCGTCCATGTTTAGATGTTTTTCCATTGCTGAAGAGTAATATATTATTAAAGCTGAAATCGGCATCATTTCTGTTTCATCACAAACCGAGCCCATCAAAGCAAATAGTGGCAACGTATGTTTTATAACTAAAACAAGTTAATAAAAAGTCTAGTGACAATTTAAGCGCATTTTCCTTAATTAATTTTTTGTGACCGAACGAAAGGATATTTTTGAAAACTTTCTTCGGCAATATTGTTCTAAATTATGGCAGGAATCGATTGGTAAATGTTTCACGTCGCTAAGTAGTATGGTTGCCGAGATATGGGCCAAAAACAGCATTTTTTTCGAGTTTTTTTTTGGCTTTTCCGGGAAATCCAGGATCGAATTCCGGGAATTTTTTTGGCCTATGTTCATCCTCGGAAATTGCTTAACATGTTTGCTTTGGAACTAGTCCTCGATATTGCTTCGTTGAGGAGGAGATACGATTTAAAGCTGCGGATACACATCGGACACACATCCATCCTTGACGAGTTAATAATCACAATTGTCAGTATGGTAATTGCGCTAAAAATAATATGTCTAGTGCCTTATATAAACACCGCTCCCCTATCAAACGTTGTAAAAATATAACGCTGTTAAACATTAATTATTTCCAATGTAGCGTTGGAAATGAAGTAAGGGGGGATACCAATAACAAAACCAAACAAATACAATTTTAAAGAAAAAACAAAAGTTTGAAACTTACATATAATGCAGAGTTTATAAAGTACAAAAAAATGTTCGTGGACATCGACATGGGGGGTGTGTGTGAAATATTCGCATATGGATGTAATAAAAGGTGGGGGGGGGGGGAACGCCACATTTTTGTAGACGTCAAAAATTAATTAGTGATATCTAAACACTGATATAAAAGTTGAAGAAACCTAATCAAACAGACGTCACCTAATCGTTTTTTCTCTTCGACTGGTTGATTGAAAGTCTTGATCAAGTTTCAAGTTTGACTACCCAGCCTTAAGTCAATGCTGAAAACAATTTGTCTGAAATCATAAATAAAGGTGATACCAGAAAAAAAATGACGAAGGGACTACTTGGAAAAAAAAACTTTTAAAGCTGCACAATGAGATCAAATAACCCGTTTAACCTTCTTCTGACAAAACTATCTAAACCGTGTGGCCAAGCAGTTGCGCTTTGGGCGCATTGTCAGGGGTTTAGGGTGTATAGTTATAGTAAATCTTGTAAAGAGATCTAGTCGATACGTTAAGCAGCTTTTTAAAAATTTATTTTAATAGCCTATTACAATCTATTGTTTTAGTCTTTATTGTGTTACTCCCTGTCCCATCAAGACAACACATAGACCTAAACAATGAACATTTAGATGACAAGAAAAACCAGGTGATTATAGCAATATGTGCATCTTCTTTCGGCCAAAAATAAATGGTTTCAAGAAAAATCCGTATTAGTGTCATTTTAAAAGAACATATGTGTATTCGTATTATTTTTAACATCCATGATAAAAGAAGACACTTAGAATGAGACATCATCTTTCTTTTTTAAACATAACAGTCAAGGAAATTAGTTTAAAAACAAAAACAATTATATTTCCAGCAAAATAGGTTTACATCAATATTAAATGCATGAAATTAATTCAATTGGTTACAATAAAGACACATAGTATAGCTAGGTGATTGGACTAATGTTACTAGAGTTGTTTTTTTATTGTTGCCTCCCCTTCACTATGGACACAGAGTAAAAATTTGTATGTTTAGAATAAACTTTTTTTTTTTTATAAATGACTCATGAATTTTTTTATTGTTAATTAAATTGTGATGCATTACTGTACATTCGAAGAGTATCTTTTTTTAGTTTATATACGAATTCCTACAAAAAACAATTGTGTGTGTATTAAAGAAAAAAAAAACAATAATATGATTTCGGAAAATTCCGCTATTAGGGCCTATAACTCTGATCAGCCCTAAAGTGGGCGTATACTTGAAAGTTAGTTTAATAATAAAACTGCATTTTATTTTCTCTTTTGTATGAAAAGTTTCACCAACCGTAAGTTAATAACAGCAACCTATTTATTAATTTAACCTCTACTACACAGTGTATGACAATATAGTTTAAGTGATGTGTTCCAGCGAAGGCTAGGCAAGGTCCTATTTTGTGTGATTGTAATACATAAGGGATGTCTTGTCAATATCAAAATAATTCATGATGATTTGTCATCACGGCCTCTAATAATTATAGTAGAATAAGCAACATGACAAAGACACGTTCAATTATTATATTCTAATCGGTTAAATTCATGTATGTCTTTGATAAAAATATGTAATATATTATTATATCGCATAGGTATAATGAAACAGGAAAAAATGTATAAGCCATTGTAGTATCACAGTAATTTTGGTAGATTTAATCGGGCACTCGCTTTAAATGATTTTCAGTGATATCAACATATCAAAATACAATAATAATTATAATAAGTATACAAAAACGAGCCAACAGGCTATCCTTTGATAGCAGCACAAACATCAGTCGCTGTTTAAGTCCATGTTAGTCACAAAACTCTACCATCACAGAGATCTGCTTTACAATGTGTTTCTTGTGTTGTGAGGTAACTTTAGGTTGGACAATGTTAATAATGTAGTGTCAATGCATTACACTTGAGGCAATGTATTCTTAATTGTAGTTATCAAAACGTAGATTAGATGTGTATATGACAAGACTGAATGTAGACTAAGACAGAAATGATTAAGGGCGATTAAGTTCGATACTGTGTGCGTTTGTTTTATTTGAATAATAGACAAGAGAGACAACAATTAAATATTTCTATCGTGCAAGACAATTTGGTAACTTCCCTTCTTTCCTCTGCAACTAAACATATAATATTTCTCACCTGGACTTCTGTGCTGACCACTCGGTAAATGTTAACTGGATGCTTTACTATCATAAAATTCCTCTCATTGTAACTGCTCAATTGTGTTGTTTACTTTTACTATTTGCAAATGGAAATAAAATTGTGTTTGATCCCACAAACTATTTCTAACACATAATAAAAAAAATACAAGTACATAATCGATTACAAAGAACTTTATAATAGAGTTTAATCTGATTATATTCACAGATGTCTGACCACTTAAAGAAATATTTAACTACACAGCTTGAGCTATTGGACGAGTCAAGTTTTCATCTATGGAGTAACATCAGTGATTTTGTACAGCAGGTATATACAAATCGTTTTTTTTAGGAATGATGTGTATTTTAAACGGGATAATTTGATAATTTGATTCAAAACAATCAGATCCACTATTCATTGAAATTGTATTTTAAACATTCCATTTCAATCACGTTAATTTTTATAGTCTAAATATGAGTAATACAATTATGTGTTAACTCATTTCTAATACTCAGAACGTGTTCAAAGCATGCTTTTAAACAGTTTTAGACACACACAAAATCTACATTGTGTTGTAATATTATAGGTTACCACTTTTAATATAAGTTTTCTTATTTGGCCAGATAAAAACCAGAGCGAATGAATGTGTAGATAACATTCCTGACTCCAATAAAGCAGTGAAAGATGCAATCGCTATGGTAACAACTGCACAGAGTAGAATAATAGAACACACAGATATGTTTACGGGTACGGTCATAATTTTTATTTTATTTTTTCTATTAAACATAGAATTGATTTGATACTAATTCATAACCGTTGAGCTTGTAAAATGATGATATTTTGTGTCACTGCTATAGAAACCTCAGAATGTTTTCTATAAACAAGAAAAATATTGTAAGAATAAAAACATGCCTATATACATTCATCTGACAACACCCATGTCATCTCATAAATTAGTTGAAAGGTTAAGTAAACAACGTTTTTTTTAAAATTGCAATATCAATAATGGTCCACTAACAATATATAAGAAGAAATAAAATGTAGCATTTTAAATGCATGTTTTTCCTTCTAAAATATTAAATGAATGCTATGAAATAGATAGTTTGATTTTGTTTTAAATAAATATTTAATTAACAATGTTTATTCTTGTCCCCAAATATTTTGTGTTTATTTATTTTTTACTTTGTGGAATAATATTTTCTACAGACATTGACAAAATTATAAATTTGTAATTTAACAGATGAATATAATCCAGAAACATCTAGAAGACTAAAGGATTTTGAAACAGTGTTATCATCCCTTCAAGACACCAAACAAAAGACTGAAGATGACATATCAGAAATAAAACAATGGAGAGACAACTTTGTAACAGAACACAGTGATCTGGGGATCAAAGTTCACAACTTCACTAAGAAACAAAAACAGAATTTTAAAAACTTAAGAAAACAATTAATAGAACAAGATAACAAAATAGAAGAGCTGACCAAACAAATTGAAAGTTTAAAAACAAAAGAATCAGACACAGACAAAACACTGGAGAAACTGTCTCTAGATATGAAAGAATATGAAAACAACCTGCACACACTAAATAAAGAGATGAGAGTTTACACAAATAAAACAGATCATGTTACACAAGAAATTAAAAATCATTCTGATTTGATATCTGCTATAAAAGTAGATAAAAACAAAAAATTTGAAACATTATTGTCTAAGGTATATTTTTAATAATATTTTGATAAATAAATTAAGTTCTAATAGTAGTTATAAAGGCATTATATGTTTTATTGCCTATACATATTTTTGAGTTATAACACATTTGTAGCATAAACTAAATTTTGTGTTTACACATACACCCCTGTGTCTCTCGCCCTCTAATGACTTCTAATTAACACCCTTCTCAGGTATAAAATAATCTGTTTATTTTCCACATTGTTTTCCACATCTGATCTCTGTACTATTGTATGTATGTCTCTACCATCTGTCCATCAAAGTCTAGGTCTACCTGCTAATAATTTACAATTGAGTTGTTTAAACACCACCATAGCTACTTTTTACTTGTAATTTAAGTCACAGTACCATCATTCTATTCTCTGTTTAAATTACTGCCAATATTGTAAGTTATTGTATGTGTTTATTTTCATGTTTTCTATTTAGCATGTTGTGTTGTGTAAACTTCTACAACAAAGATTGATGCCAATTGACAAAATGATTGAAACATATAATCAAAACTCTGAGACTACAGAAGGGAAAATAAAGAAGGTAAATGAGCCTCATATGTTTTTAACTAAACACAATTTTTAATATTCAATTTGGGTGGCATAATAATATACTTAATTCAATTATAAACAAGTCCTCATTTAATGTATATTCATCTTTTTATTTCACTAGTTTAATAAAGAAGTTACCAACAAATTTGAATATCAATTAAAATAGTTATTTCTTTAGTAATACATTTAAAATGTTAGTAGGTTTTAGGTTCCCCATATGTCAATGCTGTCACATGTGCTTATTGTCTTGAAGTATTTTTTTATGTCCATAGTTTGTTTCGCTAATGTATTTCTGTAACTGTTGTTTTTAGATTGAAAAAGAAGTTTTAAAGTTGTCAAATGACGTTCTATCAATTGGTAGGTTGTATCTTTTCAATTTAAATATACTTTATAATCATGAAATACTAATTAAATTAGTTTCTAGTGTACCAGAAAACACATTGCTTAATATTTATGTTAATGTGTTAAATTTTTCTGTGAGTTGTGTGTCATTTGTTTTTCTAAAATTTTGTAAATTGAAGACTTTGAATCGTTTGTGAATGCTTCGGAATACAGTTATACTATAGATCATAAAAAATTTATATTATATATGTATATATATATATATTTATGTATATTTATATTATAAATGTTTTGATACTCTGAAAATATTTTCCAATTATCATATTAATAAACATATTTTTAAACAGGTTTAGATCTTTATTTGTTTAAGCATTTTGTTTTTGAAGATTATAATCAATAGCTGTAGCCTTTCTATTTTTTAAATCAATTAGAAAGTTAAAGTGCTTTGCTTATGGTCTTGTTTTATGTTAAATTATGTTATGGTCATAATAATTATAACAGGTAGTTTTCTCATTGTTTTTATTGTAAGAGCAATTTAATTATTTATCGATCCTAATCAGAGATTTAATGGACGTTACAGTTTGCAGTGTTTCTTCCAGACTAAACTTTCCGGGGAGGGGCGGACACTATTAAAAGTATATATTTTCTAAATGGATTCCATTTTGTACAAGAATGAACTCTGCATGTTTGGTTTATTTACAAAGGAAAAAAAAACAACTAAAACAATTTTCAAACTATATTAGTCAAACGTACGAGAGTGGTAAAAACAAGTTAATAAAAAGTCTAGTGACAATTTAAGCGCAATTTCCTTATGTTATCCATAACAATTTTAATTTTTTGTGACCGAAAGAAAGAATATTTTTTGCGCTAAAAAAAGGACAACTATATTAACCTATATCAACGGAAATAGTTTTATTTTAACGAGTAGGCCTACACGATGCTCAGTTTAAAAAAGAAGTAAATATCATCCTAGGCCTACACGATGCTCAGTTTAAATGTTCTTAATTAATTTTTTGTGACCGAACGAAAAGATATTTTTTTAAACTTTCTTCGGCAATATTGTATTAAATTATGGCAGAAATCGATTGGTAAATGTTTCAAGTCGCTAAGTGGTCTGGTTGCCGAGATATGGGCTAAAAACTGCATTTTTTTAGGTTTTTTGGCTTTTCCGGGAAATCCAGGAGAGAATTCCGGAAATTTTTTCGGCCCACAATCATCCTCGGAACTTGCTTAACATATTTGCTTTTGGAACTAGTCCTCGGTATTTCTTCGTTGAGGAGGAGATACGACTTAAAGCTGCGGACACACATCCAGAAATGACGAATTAATAATCGCAATTCCAGTATGGAAATTGCGCTAAAAACAAACATCATAAACAACTGATAGGTCCATGATATACTATTTACTTAGCAATCTACTTGGAAAATTTTCATAAAATTTCATTTATAAATGTATTTCTAAAAACTGCGTAGTTTGATTCTAATGTGAAAATTTGGTCTAAGTACAGCTGATAAGTGTATAAAATTGGGTTTAGTGTACATTGTTTGAATAACTTATTTGGTGATGTGTAGATACCATTTTGTATTTTATTTCCTGCAGCCAATCAACGAATAAAACATTCTACTCTGGGGTTTGTTGCTTCACAAGGTCGCTGGGACGGGACAAACCGTGAATTATACACAGTTATTACATTCAACAGTGTAGAACGTAACGTAGGAAACCATTTTAATCCAAACACTGGAGAGTTTACCGCCCCTGTTGATGGTCTATACAAAGCAAAACTTACAATAAAACAAACAGGAGATAAAATTGTGGGGGCTGGCATTAAGCACATGTCTGATGGCGTGGAGTCATGGCTCGGTAGTGTTGGGACTAAAGATAAATATGTTGAAGCTTCAAAAACATTTGCAGTTCGGTTGAAATTTGGAGATATTTTATATTCATACACTGGCTATGAGGATTGTGAATGTACACATTTTTCTTGTTCGCTACTTACCGTCTAATGTTAACACATCATAACACAAAATTTACATGCAAAATCAAAATATTTTGTATACATTAACAAGTTTTACAGATTTTTTGCTTTTATTAGAGATGTATTATAGAGATAAATCTGAAAATATTTGCTATAAATCAGAAAATAATGATATTTATTGATATTGATAAATCAGAAAGTTAGGATTTTTATTTATATTCATTTAGTTGTGAAATAATAAATAAGCCCCCCCCCCCCCCCCAGAAAATTGTGTTTTAAGTGTGCAAATCTAAATTGGTTTTTATCTATATTCTTCTAAACATGACCCAATGTTTACACGTTTGTATATGTATTTATGTATATATTATATATATATATATATATATATATATATATATATATATATATATATATATATATATATATATATATATATATATATATATATGTCGATTTTATGATATCAGAAAACCGGCAGTATTATTTAATTTAGAAAAACACCTTTAATATAAACTAACCTAACTTCAATGAATAAACTTTGCACATGCAAGTAATTGCTTCGCGAAAAAAAATAGCTGTTGATTTTTTACCATTTAAAAGATTAATGCGTTTAAATGCATTTGTATATTTCAGCTATGGATTTATTGTTTCATTTAGTTGCTATTTCGATTAAGTTTCAACAATAGGATACGCTTAAATTATCTGTGTTTACCTTCTTTCGGAGACTAAGTAAAATAACTAAAGTGTCTATATGGCGGACTGGCAGAGTCCACAGCGTGTTAGACACTCATATAAGTAACGGATCCGAAACCCATGCAGGCATACTATTTATTTTTCTAATATAGTGTAAATCTGTTATATGTTTTAACTATTTTAAATGATATATTAAGTTGTTATGTATATTAAAAGAATTAACAGGTTTCGTTATAATTTGTTTGACAGATCTTACAGTTCGAATCTTAATAGTGAATATGTGTAATATATTATTTACTGATGAACGCACGGACAATAAAGAAATCATTTTTAATGTCGGCATAAAGATAGGGATAAAACAATATTTTAAAAATACCAATACATAAGGGGTTTCTATCAGATTATTTAAGGAAATAAGGTTGTGTACTTTATAAAGTTATTAGGTGTTTAGGTGAATAATATTTAAATAAATATTGTCTTTGTTTTTTCCATAGTAGTTTGTGCATGCTATATTTGTTGTGTAAAACCCAACCTAAGCATATTTTAATAATGTCTCTATGTGGCTAATCGGGTTGCTCAAATTATTTTTCCCCCTAGATCGACAACGCCTGGCCTTTAATGCTGTAAAAAAGCGTGATGATATTTTCACACTGTCTGATGACAACAAACAGGGAGATTCCATTCAGTCTCTCGCGCGTTGTCTTAGAGGTACTATGCAAATCTTCGTGCAAACCCTCGCTGGCAAAAAATTCAACATTGAGGTTGATTCATCAGACACCATTGAAATTGTCATGGATAAAATATGTGAAAAAGAAGGCATTACACCATACAAACAACGTCTGATATTTTGTGGCACAAATCTTAAAGCTGGTCGCAGATTGTCAGATTACAACATTAAGAAAAACGAAACCATTTATCTTATGCTTCGTCTGGGACATAACTAATACTTGACCCTTTCATTGAATAACCCAAGCTCAATCACTATGTTACTCTATTTACTGTTCTTCTAAAGTCAATTTCACATTTTTAATAGTCAAGTGATGAAAATGTTGGGCTGAGGTAAACAGTTGACTGCCAAGCTAATCACTAATATGGCATGGTTACCAAAAACCTAAGTATATATTGTCACTTTTTGTTTGTTTTAATGTTCCCACGAGTAAAGTAGACAATTCGCTCTGCTAGTTTGTTTTGTAGTTTTATTTTAAGTCATGGCTTAACGTTACAGGATAACTCAAAATTTAAGTCGGGAAAAATAATTATTTCTTCTTTTTAAATTCTTTAACAAAAGGTATTAGAGATTTCAATGCATGTGTATGTCTGTATACATTGTTATGTATATCTGTTAAACATAATTCAATGTTGTGTGATTTTTTATCTTATTATTACACTTAGGCGGGTCTTCTATAATATAACCATGACTTTTATCACACTACACTGCATTTTAACATTGATCTCTATTACACCCTACTGTTATGTAACAAAGATTTATATTAAACTCTAATTATTAATTAATTTAATTTGTCTCACATTATTATTATAAAGTATTTGATACAGATTTTAGTTACAGCTTTTATGTTTATCTCGTGTAGTGTCTGAGTAGGAACATGATAATCGACTTTTATTGCGCATTTGTACAATTAGTTTTGCTCTACTTTTTGTTGTTACTTAGATGTTAGAAGAAGATATAGAGAACAGTTCAACTACAACAATAATTATACTGTTATTAAAGACATCATTTACAAACGCATATTACATGTTATTTTAACACACAGAAGAACAAATCGCTATTTTATTCTATAGCCATTTATTACAATTTTATAGCTTATAAACTCTGCATTATGTTTAAGCTTCACAATTTTATTTATCTTAAAATTTGTATATGTTTGGTTTTTGGTTTTGTCATAGCAGCCTCGCATTACAGCATTATATATTTTGCAGCGCTTGATAGGGGGGGAATTTCGTACATGGGACACTACACATATGTTTTTTAGTCTTTAATATACGTTGGGTTTGGTTTGTGATAAGACAGAAATAAAAAAGTTGATTTCCACTTTAAAAATGGTTACGTTTAATTAATTTTAATAGATAGTTGCTTGAATTGAGGACACCGTCAACAAAATTAAAGACATATCTAACATCCACCACGACGCCCACCCCTCTCCCTACACACACTAACGGAAGACATTAGAGTAGGTCAGCCAGTACACAACATACTAGGGAAGACGACGATTTAGATAACGAATTGGTGAAGAAAAAAGAGAAGACAAACTAAAAACCAGTCCCGACAAACTCTCTAAACAAATTCATTTAAAACTGTAGACAGCTGAGCGACAGTGACAGACTTGCACCAAGCAGTACAGACGCGATCTTATCGACAATATGGAGACTGAACAAAGGGAGACAACAATGAAATATATTAATTTTGCTAGTATTATTAGGTAATTTCCCCTTTTTTTCCAAAAATTCACAATATCAGTAGACATACCATACACATTAAAAATATTCCTGTTACAAAATCTGCTCTTTAAAATCAACGATATTAAAATCTGATATACGCCACTGAAGAGTTTTATTAGACCGAGGTATCTGTGACAGTTTTATTTTACTGGAAGCCCTAATATTTTATTTCACTTTTTTAACCTACAATTGTATTTTTTTTTGTCTTCTGAACTCATATTTGACCTTATTCGTTGCGTACATTAATGTTGAACTCTCTTTCTAAAAACTACTTGTTAAATCAAGTCTTTGATGTTTGCAACTAAAAGAACTCTAAAGCCTCTATAGTATATTCTGGATTATTCGTCTCTGTAAGAAGTTTGCTTTTTTGGAGGATCATGAGACAACTGGGGAAAATGGTGTTTAATAAAAGAAACTGGTGAAATTTTTAAAAGTTAATAGAATGCTAATTCAGTCAAACTTTATGTCACATTGTATTGTCATCAAGAGGGTGATATGTGTGGGCACTATGAGAGCAGTTGATTGGCTATTAATTAAGCTTTGTGAAAAACTTTGTCATTCTTGTGATTGAATTTATTTTTCTTTAAGTTTCTATTGGAGTATATTATTTTGCTTAAACAACACAAAATACTTGGTTGTTTGCGGTTTTTTAAATCTTTGTTCCACCTGGATCAGCGAGCCATAAACATGATAGGTCTAAACTAAGATATGTTTTAATTACATTAGGAGAGATGTGAAAGACGAAACAAGTCAATCATTATGAAGGGCGATATTGTTATTTACAAAATACAAAAGAGACAGGCAACTTTAATGTTATTATGACCTATTTCAAAGTTGTTGAATCTGGCATTAGAAAAATATAGCAAGGTAGACAACAAAATTAAGATTGGTTAGGCGATAACTCTTTAATACAATACAGAAAAAGGCTGATAGAAATTACAGACAAAACATTTGTGACTCAGCAATTATTGGCGAGAACAAAAACACATCAGCAAAGAAGGAAAGACAAATTTAGCTATTGTTTAGGAAAATATCTAACTATTTAGTATCAAAATTGTAGTAGTATGTTTAATGTCGCTTGTAATGACTATCAATAAAAGTCCTTAGTTTCTAATATGTTGAAAACAATTTCGGATTCTAATCTATATTTACTCTATAATAAATGATAATAATTGTACAGCTTATTGGTATTTTTTTTTTTAAATTACTATTGACGTTCCTTGCAAATGTCATGTCATGATGTCTAAAGATAACAAGAAAAATGTGAACATTCCAAATCCTTAAAGCCAGATGATAAAAATAAAACATCTCCAGATTTCATCCGAACCTCAAATGTCTCTGAAGCTTCTACAGATGTATTTTGTGTCCAAACATCACCGACCCATGACACCTTACCACTAGATTTGTGATAAGCAATAGCTCCTACAGCACTATCACCTGTTTGTTTTATTGTAAGACTTGCTTTATACAGGCCAAAAACAGGGGCGGTAAACACTCCAGTCTTTGGATCAAAATGGTTTCCTACGTTAGTTTCTACAGCACTGAATGTAATAATTTGGTATTCGTCATAAATTTTCCCGTCCCAGCGACCTTCTGAAGCAACAAAAACCGGTGTAGAAGGTTTCACTTGTTGATTGGCTGCAAGAAATAAAATATATAAGGTATCTAAACATTACAAAATAATTAAAAATAACTTTTTTTTTAACTTGTTGGTTGAACTTAGACCAGATTTTCACATTAGAACTGTTCCGAATCAAGTGACGCAACTTTTAGACATACATTTATAAGATAAAATTTCAAGAAAAATTTTTCTAACTAGATTTCTAAGTAAAAGTATGAATTACATTTGTATATTGAATGCATATAACCCACACAAGACACCAAATCATGCACATTATGGACCAATCATTTGTTCAGACGTTTGAAATCTATAAAAGGGTAGCCTCAGTCCGAAACAGAAGACTACGTTTAATCTATCATTCTCGTACTTTTGGCTTACATTAGTTTCACAATTATTAAAGTGGATTGTTTCCCTTACAAAAATGTCTCCTGCAGTAGAGTCCATTACATCTCTGATATGGGCCAATAGAATAATTTTTAAAATACAAAGGCTTTAGCAGTAGACGATTAACTTGAGAAATAAAATCCTTAAACAAATAAAGATATAAACGTATTTTTAAAATATGTTTATTAATAACATAATGAGGAATTATTCGCAGTGTATTAAGATGTTTATATGATCTATTGTATAACTTTACTTTAAAGCATTCACAAAAGAATCGAAGGCTCGAAGTTACACGAATTTAGATAAAAACTACACAAACAACTCAACCAAAAAGTTAACCACATTAACATATTTCCTAAACGGTGTGTTTTCTGTAAACTAGAAAACACTTTTAACTTGTATGCCATGATTATATTGTATATTTATATTGAAAAGAAATTTTAATAGCCTACCAATAGATTGAAGATCCTGTGATAGCTTTAAAACTTCTTTTTCCAGAGTTTCAATCTAAGAATAAAACAACAGTTACAGAAATAAATTATGTGTCACGAACTATTAATTTGTCTAAATCCATCATCTTTTTTTTAGTTGGCGCATTTAACTACAATAACTACAAGTACTTTGCGACACAGTACTGATATAAAGGAAGACGAGAAATTTTACTTTACATTTTTAATTTATTACTATAAATAAATAAAACTATTTTATTTAATATTTAAATATTAATAACTTTTTTAACTAGTGAAATACAAAGATTAAGATACATTTCATGAGCACTTGTTTTAGAATTCTATTTAATATATTACATTATATTTAGCTAAAAACATTTGAGTTCATTTACCTTTTTCATTTTCCCTTCCCTAGTCTCATAGTTTTGATTATATGTTTCAATTATTTTATGAATTGGAATCAATTTTTGTTGTAGAAGTTTACACATCACATAATGCTAAATAGAAGAAATGTAAAAGCAGATGGTTAATAAATGTGGTAACATAATATTGAAATAAATTAAACTCATAAAAAAGAAATTAAACTCACAAAGCAAAAATTTTACAAAGAATACAATAAATAATGGGTTTGTGATTAAAAATACTAGTAAAGAGTAACTTTGGTAGTGTTTAACCAACACAATTGTAAATAACCAGCAGACAGACCTAGACTTTGATGGACAGATGGTAGAGACATACATACAATAGTACAGAGATCAGATGTGGAAAACAAAACAAACAGATAATTTTATACTGGAGAAGGTTGTAAAGCAGCCATTAGAGTATGTAGAGCCACAGGGGTGTATGTGAAAACACAAGCTATAGTTTAATACTACAAATGTGTTATAACTTATAACTATGTATAGACAAGAAAAAATAAAATTCCTATATAGCCAATAATAGAACTCTAATGTTATGCATTAATCTAAATATTACTTTTAAAAGTACCTTAGACAATAGTGTATCAAATGTTTTTGTTGTATCTTCTTGGATAGTAGATATCAAATCCGAATGCCTTTTAATTTCTTGTGTTACATCATCTGTTTTATCTGTGTAAACTCTCATCTCTTTATTTAGTGTGTGCAGGTTGTTTTCATGTTCTTTCATATCTATAGACAGTTTCTCCAGTGTTTTGTTTGTGTCTGATTCTTTTTTTTTTAAACTGTCAATTTGTTGATTCAGCTTTTCTATTTTGTTATCCTGTTCTTTTATTTGTTTCCCTAGGTTTTTAAAATTCTGTGTTTGTTTCTTGGAAAACTTTTCAATTTTTATCCCCACGTCACTTTGTTCTGTTACAAATTTGTCCCTCCATTGTTTTATTTCTGATATGTCATCTTCAGTCATTTGTTTTGTGTTTTGTAGAGAAGTTAAAGCTGTTTCAATATCGTTAAGTCTTTTTATTGTTTCCGAATTACATTGATCTGTTAAATAAAAATGAACAACAGCAAATATATGATAGCCTAATACTGATTTTTTAATATTATTCTTCAAAAAGTAAATCTTGTAATGTTTTGTGTTATAGTAAAAAGAAAATGTACGTTTATTTTATTTAGTTTAATTATTATCTTAAGTGCTTAATAGTTTACATTATGATATTACATTCATTTATCTAACTAGTTTAGATTGAGTGATGTTAAATAAATATTAAGCGCTTTTAAAAATGTTTAATTTTTTTTTAACTATTGTTAATTTTTCTTTTAATTTTAAGCTATACGGCTTTGTTTTGGTAGTCAAAATGATCAGTGGAGAATAATAATAATTTTTAAAAAAAATAGAATTAAAATACCAAACGTATGTTCAACATTCTTTGGTTTCATACTTTTACTTTCTGTTGCTGTCTGTTCCTCTGACATCACTGTGGGATGGTACAACTTGATGGATTCTGTCAACACAGAAAATATTTTAGATCACACAAAGCTAAATGCAAACCTTTGTTTAATGGTTACATGAAGCTTAATAATTTATAAAATGTAGTTTTCACATGTTACCAAGCTTTAGAAAAATAAAATAAAAATGAATCGTTATTTTTATTAAAAGATTTAATGAATACTTTGTAAAAACAACACCCAATTAAACAAAAAAAACCTGCCTTATGGTTGTTTAGTAAAAAAAAAAAAGGTAGACAAAGATGTAATAACAACATTTACAATTAAGGCCGCAAATAGTTGGATAATAATGTAATGGACACAATAATGAAATATATGACCATACCATTTAACATATCTGCATGTTCTATTAAAGTACTTTGTGCTGTTGTTACCATGGCTACTGCGTCTTTAATTGTCATATTGGTGCCTGAAATATTTTCTTCACATTCCATTGCCTGTGTTTTTATCTGTAATATGGTTAAATAATATTACAATAGTTACCATTAATTTTGTTACTCACTATATTTCGTTAATGTAAGTATATGTAAAGTATATGTTAAATTACATACACGTCACATTTAATTACAACATAAATAATGTTTTTTCACATATTTATTTATGATTATTAAATTGAAACCTTTTCTTAGAATTTCAATTTTAAAATAATTTTTATGTGAATAGGCGAGACTAAAGCAAATATTTTTACATAACAAGACTAACAAAGTATATGGTATTTACCTGCAGTACAAAATCACTGATGCTACTCTGTAGATGAAAACTTGACTCGTCCAATAGCTCGAGCTGGGTAGTTAAATGTTTCTTTAGACCCAAGTGGTGAGACATCTGAAGAAATACATATGTATTGGGTCTCTTATATATATATATATATATATATATATATATATATATATATATATATATATATATATATATATATATATATATATATATATATGTGTGTGTGTGTGTTTATATTCATATATAGACTTATGTTTTCATAAGATTATAATGTAACGTAAAAATAAAAAATAGTACACTTAATAAAAAAATGACCTACTGTAATTGGTCATGTTAAAATTGCTACAACCGAACGGTATGTTGTTTGATACTTAGTGTTACATAGCTAGACAAAAATGTCGGCCAAATTTAGACTTCAAACTTCAGGTTTATTTTAAGCAAATTGTCAACTTATCTACTATTTAAATATAGGTATGTGTAATTATGCTCCTATATAGAATCATGTTACAGTATTTACATTGGGGCTAGTGAAGAATAATCCGATCACACAAGGGTAAAACAGTTGCTTGTTTACTCATCAGAGTGGACTCCACGAAATAAAATAGGAAATTCCCGTTTGGGTATTCTTGGTAGTTGAGAAATTCCGTATAAGTGAATCTACTTTGCTTTACTTACATTACAGCCGTGGAGGAGTTAATGCATCTAAATAAAAGTCGTGGTATTCAGGGGTTGAACTCTCATGCCGACACTCCAAAAGGCGAAATGGAATGAGAAATTAGTGGGGTGCCTGGGGGGGGGGAATGAAAACTGTTTTTATGGGGGTGGTATTTTTTGGATTAGAAGTGCACTACTTTACTAGTAACGCCAATGATGGTTTACATATAAATAACCCACATTGCTTATGATAAACAAGTAGCCCATTTGAAAATATGAATTTTTAAACGTGTAGTAAGAGTACAAAGGTCTGAGGATTATTGCATAATTTTATACCGTAATCCTAATGTCGAAATTTTAAATCTCGTAATTCTTGAGTCGCTACTAAGCATTGAAGATATTTTGCTAAATTAACAACATCCTGGATTAAATCCAAATTTTAAACTTACACTACAAAATCCTTGACGGCACTGTGTACTGATGTCATGCTATGAGCTAGCACATAGAAAGCAACTGCATGAGTCGGGGGTGAGCGGGGTGGGAGCTAAATGTGACGTCATTTCAAGCTGTGTCAACATGTTGATGTGACAGTGCTGTACGAATGATGTGACTGAACCTTCTTGCTGCAGTTGAGATACAAAATCTAGTAATGACAACAATATGTTTTTAATGTTACATTTGTGTTTGCATAATATTTACAGTGAGAAACAGCTTCTTAATGTTTTCGCTTGTTTAGCAGGACTGCAACCTCATGATGGATATAAACTACGTTGTCGTTAAACATTCTATGTATAAAATCATTTCGTAATTAAATAAACCAGCACTATGAAAAAAAGTTTCTTAAAAAAGTATCAATCTTACGGATCTTTAAACATGTAATGTTCAGAAACATCGCATTGTTTCGTGTATATCAAGAAGTGAAAATAATATTTTTAAGTAATCGGATTTTCCCGATATTATTTTACCTAGTTGGCTACAAGGAAAAGAAAGTACGCCATTGCTTTAAGCTCAGCTTTGAGTAATTTAATGTCTTAATTAAATGTATGTGTGTTTGTTGTGTGTGTGTAGTAGAGTTAGTTTAACCAAGAAGTACTAAACTACTTAATACATGTCAATTTTCTACGCTTACATAGTTTTGTTTGGAAACATTTAACACTTTAAGACTTGATTTAAATAAAGTATACTGTACTCAGATGTCTGTCTACCTCAAGAAACATTTAACAACCCAGCTCGAGCTATTGGACGAGTCAAGTTCTCATCTACAGAGGAGCATCAATGATTTTGTACAGCAGGTAAATACTAAATAATAATAACACTGTTTTGTTACCTATGTCTAATTGGTTTAAATGTAAAATGCTAAAAGTGAAGAAAAATAGCATATTATGTTTTCAACAACTATGAATAATTTTAGCCTACATGTTTAACGTGTGTTTAAATAATGATAAAATAGTAAAAAAAATGAAATGTATTTTCTAAATTATCAAGATTAAGGAAAGCGCTATGGAATGTGTAGACAAGACTTCTGGCACCGACATAACAGTGAAAGATGCAATTACTATGGTAACATCAGCACAAAGTACACTTGTAGAGCAAATACAAGCACTAAATGGTACGAAATATTCTGCCTATAGTAGATGCTAGTTCGAATTTGCAGTTTTTTAAGTAATTATTATGCATTTATTTTAGATTTTGATTCACTGACATAATTTATGCGTATAACATGTTGGCAGAATCCACCAAGCTGTACCCTCCCAGAGAAGGAAAAACATCAGCAGAAAATAAACTTTTAAAATCAATGCACCTTGGAAATAGTTCTAAAGAAACGATGTCAGGTAAACTAAACCTTTTCATACGAATTCACTCTTATTTTGACATAAGTAACACTGATAAAAAATAAATAAATATGGATTTTCGTTTGCGCATCGAAACGACCGGCGATAAAACGGCCACGTCAAAAAACCAAATGGATCCTGTCAAATGTGCTTTAGAAAGAATAGGTTCACGTATTTTGGCTTAAGACAAAAAGGTAACGGATTCATTTAACCTGACACATACGGTAGGATCCCTTTATCAATATCCTTCAGTTTGCTCAGCCATTGCGTTTATATGAGAAAACGTTTGTAGTTCTTCGTCGATACGCCTTATATTTTATACTATTTTATCTAATACTATGTAATAATAGTATGAATCGGTTGTGGGCTGTTCCTCATCCTGTGGGGAGAGAGTTCCATGCAATACATTTATCTGGAGAATGCTTGACAAGTTATCAAAATTGAACGTTTTTTATCATGTAAACATATGTGTTATACATTTAAAATTCAGTACTTGCTTTGAAGCAGCAGGTCTTCATGGTTGGTAGTACAACATTATAAACATTTTTAAATTATTGGCATGTTCCTGTTAAGAGATCGATTTGTTTATGAATTGCTGTATATTTATGACTGGAACTGCATGTATTTGGAGGAAATGTTAACGTCTATGTTGCCCATTTGACGGTAGCCAATATGTCGGGGCAATTTGATGAGGGTTTTTTTTGAGTGGGTCATTTTGTTGGGGGCCGATTTGTCGGGTTTGTTTTGACGGGGCTGTTTTGTCAAAAGCCGTTATTTTTTACAAGAAAAAGTATTTTTATTTTATTTTTATGTAATAGTTGAATGTAATGCCGACACTATACGAAGATTAGAAAAACTCGAATCAGCCGTTATTTCTCTACAAGACACAAAACAAAAGACTGAAGATGACATATCAGAATTAAAACAACGGAGAGACAACTCTGTAAAAGAACAAAGTGACGTGGGAATAAAAATTGAAAAGTTGTCAAAGAAACAAAAACACGATTTTAAAAACCTAAGAAAAAAAAAATGAACAAGATAATAAAATTGATGAGATGAGCAAAGAAATTGAAAAATTAAAAGAAAAAGAAAAACCAATAAACAAAGCAGTACAGAAAATGTCACTAGATTTTGAAGAACATGAAAATATCTTACGCAAAATAAACAAAGAGATGCAAGAATACAGAGATAAAGCAGAAAATTTAACACTAGAAATTAGGAGCCATTCCGCTTTGATATCTACAATACAAGAAGATGGAAAGGAAAATAATATGTATGTAACAAACGCATGTGAGAAACTACTGACTAAGGTTAGTTAAGAACAAAATTAATAATAAAATTTTAAGAACAATAGATTACATTGCAAAGATTTGTAAAAGGTAAAATGCAAATAATTATACTCAACAGCATGTTGTGATATGTAAACTTCTACAACAAAGATTTATGTCCTTTGATAAACTGATTGAATCATATAATAAAAGCTTTGAGTCCAGGGAAAGGAAATCGATGAAGGTAAATGTATATTATTATGTTTGTTTTAGATATTTTTGCACTTTTCACATTTGATTAACATGACATATTATACGCCTGTGCATAGTTCTCAGTACATTTTAAAATAATGGATTTACTTAGTAATGTTATAATTCAACAACATTATGTAAAAAAACATTTAGTTGTTGATATTATTTTAATTGCAGACCATCATCAAACATTGCATACAAGTAATTGTATTACCGTTATAACTGACTGAGTGTTGTTAATCCCTTGCTTATAAACTGCAAATACAACGAAAAAATACCTTTTATTAAAAAAATGTTTCATATTAATTTATTAGTGTTTACTTTCTCTTATGTATGTAGGAAGTATTGTAATCGTGCACAAAAATTACACGAAATTTCGACACCCCTTTACACCCCAGTACTTTATCATATACGGAGTATATGGGACTTATATTAATCGGGGACAATTTATCAATTCAGCTTTATCAAAAAATTTCGTTTTCTGCGTAATCGGGCCAGAAAAACTAGGTTGATGAAATGTCATAAATAAGTATTATATCAAATTTGTAGTGCTGTATTAACTTTTAAGCGATTTTCGATAACCGAAAGTGAAACGTATTAAATTTATTTTTTTCAAAAGCCTATAACTTGAGAACCGTTTAAATCATATGAACAACATTTCATCAATAAGTAAAAGATCTAATAGTCTGCCTTCTCTCTAATGTTGAATAATTTTAGATGACCGGAAGTACTAATTTACGCTATTTCCAATTTCTCAAAAATAAGTTTATGAATTTATAAATTATTAATATTCCGCACTATTATACAGACATTGTTTACTGTTCATTAGGTACGCAATTCTTTTTTTTTTCTTCGAGATTATATTTTTTAAAAGTTAAGGTAATTAAAAATGTATTAAAATCATGTCTAAATCTTGAATTGCCAACCCCCGTAGTGTTATATAAGAATATTCGAGAACGTTTAGGGGAGCTCACTCCCGCTTTAGTTCTCCAGGACATCCTAAACAGTTTTTGTGTGCTCACTGTTTTAATTATTTAAATCCCCCCTCCTCTTTTCCAAGAGAAAATTATCTGAAAGAAATACTTATTTTGAGTTGTAATGTTTTTTGTTATTTAAAAATTAATATAAACAGTAACAATTGTTCCGTTCTTAGATTGAAACTCTGGAAAAAGAATCTTTAATGCTGTCACAAGATTTTCAAAAAATGGGTAGGTAATTTTTATTTGATAAACTGCTGACTTTAAAATATAGTAGAAACAATACCATCTTAATATAATACCTAAACTCTACTTCACTTTCCCAATGGGCCACCTTCCCTCTCCACACCTGCCACTCCCCTTAAAAGTCTGCTTATGATATGTCAGCAAATGTATTTGGTTGTCTCTGCTAGTTGATTGTGCGTATATTTAATTAGTTTTCTCTGCTAGTTAGTTGTGATTATTGTTAATTTCCTCTGGTAGTTGCTTGTGTTTATTGTTAGTGTTATCTGCTAGTTAATTGTGTTTACATTTCTTTTTCGAGTTCGTCGTGTTTCTCTTCAGTTTTATCTATTATTTGACTGTGATTTGTGCTGTATATTTATATATTATTTCATTGTGTATATCAGAAATTTAATATTATTGACGTGATGAAAGTTATTGTGGAAATCATGTATAGTTAAGTTAAACTATAAAACAAATAGGAAAAAAAAAACTTAGCATAACCCTTTAAAAGTGAAAACAACCCTCCTACAACATTAGTCAAACCATTCATAGTCAGCAGTACGAGCAAGATAAATACATATAATATTCTGTTGTCGGCTGACGCTACTATGTAATAGAGCAATAATCATCTTTTCATTTGGCGGAAATTTAATTGTTTGGTCTGAATACAGGCATTAACATGTGTGTTTTTTTCATTATAATCATCGTTAGAGTAAGAAATATTGTAATGAGCAGAGACAATTTTTTATTTTATATCTTGCAGCCAACCATATACACGAACATACTGCACCTGGGTTTATTGCCTCACAAGGTCACAGGCAACGCAATGGTTTTTTAAAATTTCATGCTGTAAAACGTAACGTAGGAAACCATTTTAATCCAAGCACTGGAGAATTTTCCGTCTCTGTTGATGGACGGTATAAAGTAAGTCTTACAATAAAACAAATAGGAGATCGAGCTGTATCAGCTGAAGTTTGTCACGATTCTGGTGTTGCGAAGTTCTGTTCTGGTTTTGTTGCGACAAAAGAAAAATTTGTTGAAGCATCAACAACAATTGATGTTTGTCTGAAACATGGAGATGTGTTATATTCATACACTGCCTTTGATGATTGTGAATGTACACATTTGTCTTGTGTACTTCTTGACGTCTAGCTTCCAAATATTATTAAACAACCTTCACTTGCAAAAAAAAAACTTTGTATTGTAATGTCAACAAGTGTTGTATTTTTAAAAATTTATTAAAGAGTTTAAATTTATTAAAATCTGAAAATATATGCAACATATTATCAAATGACGATTTTTAAAAATATTCAATACAAGCGACATCGATCTTTTTCATTGCTGGCCTAGTGTTTTATACGATGTTAATTGTACGAAAACATATATCATGCCCATTAACAAAAATAAACAATAATATCAAACCTGTATTGTTTGCTTTTATGTATTGTTGAAACAAGTTTATCTACTTGAACAACAAACACTGTTATATTTAAAGAAAAATTCAGTATTATTGATTGGCGTAAATGACATGTCACTGACGTTGTCTTTTTAGATATGGTCCTGTTTAACATTCTCTCGTTATAACTGTAAATTTAAAACCAAGAAACAGCAAACATTAGAACCTGTGGACATACTTATCAGTCAGTCGTCATTTGTATGCGGATTGAAATCTTATCTGTTGAAAAGTAATATTTTAAAATATTTTTTGTATTCCCTAAAAATGATTTCCTATTTCACAACAACGAATGCAGTTACTAGCAACCGTAAGAGTGTGTGTCACATAGGAAATGCAGATTTTGTGAGTGCCAAAGACATAACTATGTATAACTCTGATCGTGTTTTCAACTAGACACGAACCACATAAATCATTCCTCTTGAGAACGTCTGTGCTGACTACCTCTGAAAAAGTGTGCCTGATTTTCTTTTAATCTATCTATCTATCTATCTATATACTACTAAAAGTCAAGTTTGTTTACATGTTTGAATATTTATTTTTTTGTTTGTTTGTCCGATCGAGTATTTTGATATGTTCGACTCTATCTGGAGAGCTGTAAAATAGTATGTAGGTAGAGAATAATTTTTTAATGCAGACAGACTGTTAATCACAAATTTATTTAAATACGTTAATTAATTTATTGATTTATTCATACGTAGAGTAACCCATTTTTTTTTAAATGTTAAATTTGGAAGTGGAGAGCTGTAAAAAATGGCGTCAACTTGTTTACTTCCGGAATTGATGTCAACTTTCTTTCATAGTTTTTAGTGTTTTTATTCACTATTTAATCCAAAAAAATCTAAGGGAAGTACTACTCATCCATTAGGGTTGAGAATGTAGTTTAGTACTTATTTACTAGCCGGTTCTTATTGTGATATTTTAAGTTTTTATTTTATTGTCTCATCCATTGTTAAAATGTAAACCGGATATCTATATTCTTAGTTGTTGTAGATCTACTGATGATTCGTTTTCTTTTTCATCTATTTCTACTGATGTCCGCATGATATTTTAATTTTACTGGTGAGTGAAAATGTTAGGGACTGGTGTTGTCACCAGAAGCAGCAGAGCTAAGAAGTATCGTTTAAATAAAGAAAAAGCGATATCAAAAAAGATTGCTAACATTTGTGCAGCGGATGATATTCATTTTCAAAAGAAAGATGGAGGACAATGCGTTATCATTGCCTTTAGAAACTCAATTAGCTATGAAAAAGTAAAAAGAATCTTCAAAACAAAATATGCTGGTGTTGATGAGGAAAGAAGGGATGATGATGGCGCCAATGTTGAAGATATTTATAAATTACCAGGGCTGTCTGTCCATCTGTACCACACGAATAACAAAATTATGGTACAGGGAAAATCTAACGTTGTGTCTGTTTGGGTGGATTCGGAATTTTGCTGTATTCTAAATAACCTAATTACAACAGACAAAGCTGTCGACATGCCTCTACCCATGTCGCCGCCACTATCACTGTCACCACCACCTTCACTGTCCCCACCAAGAGTATTGGAGCTACCCATTTCACCGCCCATGATTATGTCCGCTTCCAACAGTGACAATCAATGTGCAGAGGATACGATCAATACCAATCCGTTAGATTGTGTAACACCTATAAATAACTATACATTTTCATCAAACCTATCTCAACCAACTGATTTGCTTAGTCCAAAAATATCATTTCTTCAAACCACACAACTGGATAATAACTTAAGATCGTTTATTCTTAACGAGATCACCTGTGTTAAAAAAGCTTTTAAAGCGGAGAAATTGCAGTTTAACAGCCAACTAGAACAACTCCGAGTCGAAAACGCTGTCTTAAGGGACGAAGTCAAGAGACTATCTAATGAAGTGCATAGCTGCAAAGATATACACGTTAACCTTAAGAAGCGTTTGATTGATCAAGAAAATATTTCTGCGTCACTAAAGAAACTCCTCACAACCAAGAATCCCTTTTGCAGCACAATATCCACCTCAACATGTGAGGATAATCAACAACTAATAAATGAAACAAAAATCACATCGGCAGGCATCATGCAAGAAGCTCCGTTCCCAATCCCTGTTAAAATTATACAACGTGATGACAGAGCGCGAATCAAACCATCGGAACATTCGAGTCCCAGCACCCTGCAACGACCACGAACTAAAAGCAATTCTACACAATACAGCGTCCCAACCGTCAAGTCTGTTCATGTCCCAGTTGTCCAACGCTCTACTCACTATGCCACTAATAGAGATAGCACACAACATGTCGCCGCCCCCTACACCAACCTAACAACGAAACACCATTTGATCCTTGGTGACTCTACACTTAAAGGTCTCCATCCTGATATAATGGCCACGGATCATTACGAGCGTGTATCGGTAATAGCGCTGCCTGGGGCAAATTTTGAAAAATTAGGGACGTTATTAGTAGCAGATCACGTGACTCTAATACCACAACTGTAATCTTACATTGTGGTGTCAACGACAGTCTATCAAACGTCAGACTGTCACAAGCTAATATGCTAGAAATTGTGAGAAGTATCACTCACAAATTTCCCAACGCAACAATCCGATTTTCATCCATCGTACCCCCATGTCGGGGCAAGGGTAGGCACTTGATAGATATAAATAATAGATTTTTACAGTCTTTCTGCATTAGTTATAAATACTGTTTTATAAACAATACACCTTTTTTCACTGCGAAGTCAGGTGCCCCGAGACAACGCTTGTACAGTGACAGTATTCATTTGATTAAAATTGGAAGCAGCATTCTCGCTAAAAATATAAAGTATCCCCAAAGAGCCGTCAGCTTAACAGATAAAGACCATGTGCAACTTTCAAACGTAAAAGGTACAACGTCTGATTTGGTTTCGACTGTTGATTTGCTTCCAACAATATCTTCAGATCAATTGAACTCTAGCCCAGGCTTACATCACTTAATGGGCTTTAGCCCTTTGTTGCTTCATCAAGCTCTAATGTTGTCGCTTAAGCGCCTTCCTGGAACCTAACTTTTTTCACTTACTATTTACTAGTTTAGCTCACTGTATTATTTTAATTATAGTGAAGGCAGTGTGAAGAGCAGCGAGTGTTTGTTTATTGGATGACAAAGCGTGTAATTGTAAGACAATTATATTGATTCTGTTTAATTAGTTCATTATATTGATTTTTGTTTATAACATCTCTTATTCATTGATATTTTATTATCTTTATGCATTGTCTATTTTCATCATCCTGGCCCTCACAAAGTGGGCTAAAATTGGGCCATTTAAATATTTTCCACATATTTAATAAACACCGTGAAGTTCTAAAAATTTTAAACAATTCCAACAATCCTTTCCATATCTTTGGTTTCTCTGAAACTCGATTACAATCTTTTATAAATGATGTTGAGATATCCGTCTCTGATTATAACCTAATACGCCGAGACCCATCCTTACACAAAGAAACTGGCCTTTGTGTCTATGTCCACTCCTCAATTCGTTTCAAGTACAGGAAGGATCTGTCAACGGACAATATAGAATGTATTTGGATTGAACTCGAAAAAAGCAAACACCATCCGGCAATTTTAATTTGCTTCCTTTATAGAAATCCCTGTGAAAACATGGATTGGTATGATCGTTTTTGCTCCATGATGGATACCGTTTTATCTACTAACAATGAATATATCATATTGGGAGATTTTAATATAAATTTATTAAAACCTCAAGGATATTGGCAAGATATTGTTGATTCTTTGAATCTAAAACAATTTGTGCACACGGCTACCAGGGTAAATGATAAATCAAGTACAATAATTGACCACATATACGCATCACCTGACTGCAACCTAATAGAGGTCTGTGTCCCCTCTTGTGGTGTTAGTGACCACTTCCCTGTTTGTTGTACTTTTTCGACAAAAAGATTATGTGTACCTTCGCGGCAACACATAACTATAAGTTATCGCTCTTTTAGAAAATTTAATGAAAATCTTTTTCTTTCGGATTTATTGGCTGCCCCCTTCTGCAATGTATACAATTATAATTGTCCCGATCTTGCCATTTCTGAATGGCTGCGTATTTTCTATACTATATATGACAAACATATTCCTAAAATCTCTAAAGAAGGCTTGTATGTAGTCTTAAGAGTTAAGACTACATACAAGCCTTCTTGGTTTAACAACAATATCGAATCTGCAATTAATAAAAGAGACTGGCTTAAACGTTATGGATTTTCTGAGGACTTTTGTAGGCAGCGAAATTATGTCAAACTGCTCGTGCGTAGGTCGAAGAAGGAGTATTTTAATAAGCTGCTGTCAGGCAAACCTAATTCCAAATCTATCTGGACTGCTATAAATCAAATAATTAGAAAAAAACGCACATGTAATACAGCTGGACATTGCCAGATACCTGCTGATGACTTTAACAATCATTTTATATCATCTGCAGCGCTCAACACAGATGCTGATTACACAATCAGCGAGGAGCTTAAAAAATTTTGTAATTCTGCTCACCGTGGTAGGACAGAGCTGATCATTCCGCTTCTCACTGTTCATGAAGTATATGTTAGCCTAAGATCTCTTAAACCGTCTTCAACAACTTCGTTTGATGATATTTCTAATAATGTATTGAAGATTTCAGCTCCTATAATTTCCGAAGTTTTAACCTATGTCTATAACCTCTGTATTGCCAAGCATTATTACCCGACACATTTTAAGCATGCTAAGGTTATACCACTACACAAAAAAGGTAACATCCAAGATGCTAATAACTACAGGCCAATTTCTATACTTTCTTCCCTCTCCAAGCCACTAGAAATACATATAAACAAATGCATTTCAAATTACCTAGAAAAGCTCAAGCTTTTCCATAGTAATCAGTCTGGGTTTAGAAAGTTTCATTCTTGTCACACTGCTCTGATTAAGATGAATGAAAACTGGCTTATAAATATTAACAAAAACCTACTCTGTGGCTCGCTGTTTGTCGATTTCAGAAAAGCCTTTGATTCTATTGATCACACCATACTTCTTAAAAAACTAATTCCATACAAATTCCACGACTTTACAGTTCGGTTACTTCACTCCTTTTTATCTAACCGATCTCAACGCGTGTTTCACCTTAATACCATCTCTTCACAGAAATATGTTAATATAGGGGTTCCACAGGGCTCAATCTTAGGTCCTTTACTTTTTTCTTTATACATTAATGATCTTCCATTACATATTGACGCTGGTCAGTGCGAGATGTTCGCTGATGATACTTCTTTGCATGTCTTTGCAGACAGTGCTGAGTCACTCAGTTACAAACTTCAAACATGTGCCAATCAGCTTGCTACTTGGACAAAATTTAACAAAATGAAACTTCACCCCGATAAAACCAAGTCAATGTTTATTACAACTCATCAGAAACGCCTTCGTCTTCCATCCACCGCATTAAACATTACTATAGACAATTCAAACATTGAACAGGTAGACAGTTACAAATGCCTAGGATTGTTTATAGATCACAACCTCACTTGGTCTGACCATATTCATTTTCTAAGAATGTCCTTATTAAAGTCAACCTTTCAATTAGCTAGGATAAAGAACTTTCTCAACTATAGGAGCAGGCTGGTTTTTTATGAGGCTTTTATTCAATCCAGGTTGATTATGCTTCTGTAGTGTGGAGCGGCAGCTTTATATCTAAGCAGCGTCCTCTTCTTTCTTTACAAAAAAGGGCTATAAAACTGGTTACTGGCTTGTCTAGTAGTCTGGATTCTTTTCTTACAACTAAAATACTTCCATTAAATAAAAAGATAATATATACTAAATCAATTTTCTTATATAAAATATTCCACGAAACAGCCCCCTCTTACTTATCAGATCTGTTTTCTTTTAACATAAAATTAAATCGTCGTCTTAACTTACCATTCCCTTATTCAACCTTTTTCCAAAAACATAGCTTCGCCTACTCTGGTTCTAATTTGTGGAACAATCTTCCTAATAAAATAAAGCTATCTAGATCTGAAAATATATTCAAATCTAAACTAAAACTAAAATTATTTAATGACCTAACTGACTCATTGTAACATTTCTCATACATCTATTATATTCTCCGGGCCTATTAGCGCAGCTAATGATTAGATCTAGATCTAGATTCTAGATATAGCAAGAAAAACTAAACTTAAGACTTAAGAAAACGAGTCGTAGAATCTAGATCTAGATAATTCTATCTAGATCTAGATAATTTCAAACCTTCTTTATTTTATATAAATCTTTGTTTGGCTAATTTAAGATAAAATTTAATTTGAAAGTTACTACTACTAGACTTAGATCTACATCTATGCGCGTAAATAAAGTTGCATATGGAGACTCATAGTATAGTATAAAAATTCACTTGTGACGTCACGAGTAAATAGCTATGTTGGTAGAGTAGTCGGCTCTCATGCAAGTGACACGGGTTCTAGACCAATGTCAATGATATTTTTGTTTTCAATTTTTTTTTAGATGTGAATGATAAAGTTGCCTATCTGAACTTGGTAGGATACAGGGCAGGTGAAGTAGAGTTCATCTATTTCTTTGTCCTAAGCATATGAAAGGATAGTGTGGTCAGAGACATGCTCGGCTGGAATTGTTTTTTAAACGATAAAAACATGTTGTCTGAGACTTGGCGGGACACTGGGCAGATGAAGTAGAGTAGGTCACCTGTGACGTCAGTATATGAAGGGATAGTCCGAAATCGGTGTTTTCGGTGTATTTAAAAGAAAAAAAACATATTTTTGAATGTGGGGTCTGTTTTTTGTGACGATAAGTGACACTGCAGTAGCGTAGCGAGGAGGGGGTGGGGGCGCCTTAGAAGGCGCCAAAATGGGTTGGAAAAATAAATTGAAAAGTTGATGGGGGTGCAAATTGAAAGTTTGGGTGGGGGGGGGGTTCAAATCAAAATATTGAGGGGGGGGGGGGGGTGCACATCAAAGTTTGGGGGGGGGGTTGTAAATCGAAATCTTGCGGGGGGGGGGGGGTGGGTTCAAATTGAAAAGTTTGTTCCCGGGCGCCGGGAAGGGTCGCTGTGCCTCTGAGTGACAGACGTGATGTTTTTTGATGGATGACCCCCGGAACCCACAGTTATCCAACGGATGACTGGTACTCTAGTGTCACTTAAATGTACACATCTTTGTTCTAAATTATTGTAAATAATCATTCAGTTAGTATTATTTTGCTTTTTTTTCCTACGGTAAACTAGACTGTACATTATTCCAGTCACATAACTGTGCTGCAAATTTGTATGGATTAGGCATGCTTACAGTATAGGGGAAAAAGAAAGAAAATTACAACATTACCCAAGACAGCTTTAGTTCCTTTCCCTTCGCATTATAAAATAACTCGATACTGTAATGTTTTTATAAACCACAACCAGAGCCGTAGATTATAAATACAAAATGCAAACGATGAATTTACTAAAATTTTGATTTCGCCAAACTTGGACGAGATTATTGTTACACAAACACAATGACCTGTTATTTAGAGTGAATCTTTCAATTAGTTTTATTTATTCCAACTGGTGAGGTAGGATAGTGTCACATGGGGTCTGACACTTAAGTCTACGTCTACCACAGTTATTCTCACGGACAGTAAAGGGGTTGACATCTGATCACTGAGGCGTAAAACTAATCAGGCATTTACTGAGAGCTGATTCAACTTATTTTAATCTAGTTTCAAGTGTAACTATCCGGCTGTAATCTAATGCTGAGAAAAAGTCGTACAAACTTGGTCAACGTGACTACAACAGCCGCTATTTCTACAGAATATTTTCCAACCAACATGAGAATGAGTGCTGCACACGAAATGTAGTGAGCGACTTTGTTTTCTTTTAAAATATGTGCTGGCAGCTTATTGCAGATAATTGACATTTTACTTAATAAGTCTCTAATTTTATTAACCAATTTCAATTAATACGTCTTCAATTTTCCAAATTGTTTAATGTATATACAATATAAAAATGAGTTGGTTTTTTTTTCTCCATATATGGTGCTTTCATGTATATTGTTGTAAATGTATGTAGTAAGTATAATGTAGTTGTTTTATTCTATAGGGGTAACGGTGATGATCTTTTGACGCCTAATTTTCATATTGCAGGATTGATTTTGATCGCTTGTCAGGAAATTTTGCGACTTCTTTTATTTAGGTATTTGTATGTGATTTCAAATGACTGCTTGGCTATTCGACGGTTTACCTGGAATGTGATTTTCGTGCATTCTATACTTCAAATTTGCAACAACAAAAAATGCAGCAGGGGAAGTAACGTTTAAAATAGTTACATTTAAACATTATAGAATTAAACAGTTAAAAGTAAATGCTTCTTCAAAGTAGCAAATTACACGTTCAATGAAATATCTAAACCACGACACTTTAATCACGAAGCTTTTTACTAGTTTTATACAAGCTCTTCCCTTGTTATTAATCTATATTTCCGCCGCTACATACATTATTCATAATAATGAATCAACAACGCCTGTCCTTTTATGCTGTAAAGAAACGTGATGATGCCCTAACACTGTCTGATGACAACAAACAGGGAGATTCCATTCAGTCTATCGCACGTCGTCTTTGAGGTACTATGCAAATCTTCGTGCAAACCCTTGCTGGAAAAAAATTCAACATTGAGGTTGATCCATCAGACACCACTGAAATTGTCATGGACAAAATATGTGAAAAAGAAGGCATTACACCAAACAAACAACGTCTGATATTTTGTGGCACCAATCTTAAAGCTGGTCGCAGATTGTCAGATTACAACATTAAGAAAAACGAAACCATTTATCTTATGCTTCGTCTGGGACATAACTAATACTTGACCCTTTCATTGAATAACCCAAGCTCAATCACTATGGTACTCTATTTGCTGTTCTTCTAAAGTCAATTTCACATTTTTAGTAGTCAAGTGATGAAAATGTTAGGCTGAGGTAAACAATTGACCGACAAGCTAATCACTAATGTGGCATGGTAACCGAACCTAAGCATATATTGTCAACATTTTTTTTTTAATGTTCCCAAAGTATAGTAGACAGTTTGCTCTACTAGTGTGTTTTGTAGTTTTGTTTTAAGTCATGGCTTAACGTTACAGGATAACTCAACATTTAAGTCGGGAAAAATAATTATTTCCTTTTTTAAATTTTTTAACAAAAGGTATTAGAGATTTCAATGCATGTGTATGTCTGTATGCATTGTTATGTATAATAGTTAAACATAATTCAATGTAGTGTGTTTTTATCTTAATATTACACTTAGGCGGGTCTTCTATAATATAACCATGACTTTTATCACACTATACGGCATTTTAACATTTAATATTATTGACGTGATGAAAGTTATTGTGGAAATCATGTATAGTTAAGTTAAACTATAAAACAAATAGGAAAAAAAAAACTTAGCATAACCCTTTAAAAGTGAAAACAACCCTCCTACAACATTAGTCAAACCATTCATAGTCAGCAGTACGAGCAAGATAAATACATATAATATTCTGTTGTCGGCTGACGCTACTATGTAATAGAGCAATAATCATCTTTTCATTTGGCGGAAATTTAATTGTTTGGTCTGAATACAGGCATTAACATGTGTGTTTTTTTCATTATAATCATCGTTAGAGTAAGAAATATTGTAATGAGCAGAGACAATTTTTTATTTTATATCTTGCAGCCAACCATATACACGAACATACTGCACCTGGGTTTATTGCCTCACAAGGTCACAGGCAACGCAATGGTTTTTTAAAATTTCATGCTGTAAAACGTAACGTAGGAAACCATTTTAATCCAAGCACTGGAGAATTTTCCGTCTCTGTTGATGGACGGTATAAAGTAAGTCTTACAATAAAACAAATAGGAGATCGAGCTGTATCAGCTGAAGTTTGTCACGATTCTGGTGTTGCGAAGTTCTGTTCTGGTTTTGTTGCGACAAAAGAAAAATTTGTTGAAGCATCAACAACAATTGATGTTTGTCTGAAACATGGAGATGTGTTATATTCATACACTGCCTTTGATGATTGTGAATGTACACATTTGTCTTGTGTACTTCTTGACGTCTAGCTTCCAAATATTATTAAACAACCTTCACTTGCAAAAAAAAAACTTTGTATTGTAATGTCAACAAGTGTTGTATTTTTAAAAATTTATTAAAGAGTTTAAATTTATTAAAATCTGAAAATATATGCAACATATTATCAAATGACGATTTTTAAAAATATTCAATACAAGCGACATCGATCTTTTTCATTGCTGGCCTAGTGTTTTATACGATGTTAATTGTACGAAAACATATATCATGCCCATTAACAAAAATAAACAATAATATCAAACCTGTATTGTTTGCTTTTATGTATTGTTGAAACAAGTTTATCTACTTGAACAACAAACACTGTTATATTTAAAGAAAAATTCAGTATTATTGATTGGCGTAAATGACATGTCACTGACGTTGTCTTTTTAGATATGGTCCTGTTTAACATTCTCTCGTTATAACTGTAAATTTAAAACCAAGAAACAGCAAACATTAGAACCTGTGGACATACTTATCAGTCAGTCGTCATTTGTATGCGGATTGAAATCTTATCTGTTGAAAAGTAATATTTTAAAATATTTTTTGTATTCCCTAAAAATGATTTCCTATTTCACAACAACGAATGCAGTTACTATCAACCGTAAGAGTGTGTGTCACATAGGAAATGCAGATTTTGTGAGTGCCAAAGACATAACTATGTATAACTCTGATCGTGTTTTCAACTAGACACGAACCACATAAATCATTCCTCTTGAGAACGTCTGTGCTGACTACCTCTGAAAAAGTGTGCCTGATTTTCTTTTAATCTATCTATCTATCTATCTATATACTACTAAAAGTCAAGTTTGTTTACATGTTTGAATATTTATTTTTTTGTTTGTTTGTCCGATCGAGTATTTTGATATGTTCGACTCTATCTGGAGAGCTGTAAAATAGTATGTAGGTAGAGAATAATTTTTTAATGCAGACAGACTGTTAATCACAAATTTATTTAAATACGTTAATTAATTTATTGATTTATTCATACGTAGAGTAACCCATTTTTTTTTAAATGTTAAATTTGGAAGTGGAGAGCTGTAAAAAATGGCGTCAACTTGTTTACTTCCGGAATTGATGTCAACTTTCTTTCATAGTTTTTAGTGTTTTTATTCACTATTTAATCCAAAAAAATCTAAGGGAAGTACTACTCATCCATTAGGGTTGAGAATGTAGTTTAGTACTTATTTACTAGCCGGTTCTTATTGTGATATTTTAAGTTTTTATTTTATTGTCTCATCCATTGTTAAAATGTAAACCGGATATCTATATTCTTAGTTGTTGTAGATCTACTGATGATTCGTTTTCTTTTTCATCTATTTCTACTGATGTCCGCATGATATTTTAATTTTACTGGTGAGTGAAAATGTTAGGGACTGGTGTTGTCACCAGAAGCAGCAGAGCTAAGAAGTATCGTTTAAATAAAGAAAAAGCGATATCAAAAAAGATTGCTAACATTTGTGCAGCGGATGATATTCATTTTCAAAAGAAAGATGGAGGACAATGCGTTATCATTGCCTTTAGAAACTCAATTAGCTATGAAAAAGTAAAAAGAATCTTCAAAACAAAATATGCTGGTGTTGATGAGGAAAGAAGGGATGATGATGGCGCCAATGTTGAAGATATTTATAAATTACCAGGGCTGTCTGTCCATCTGTACCACACGAATAACAAAATTATGGTACAGGGAAAATCTAACGTGGTGTCTGTTTGGGTGGATTCGGAATTTTGCTGTATTCTAAATAACCTAATTACAACAGACAAAGCTGTCGACATGCCTCTACCCATGTCGCCGCCACTATCACTGTCACCACCACCTTCACTGTCCCCACCAAGAGTATTGGAGCTACCCATTTCACCGCCCATGATTATGTCCGCTTCCAACAGTGACAATCAATGTGCAGAGGATACGATCAATACCAATCCGTTAGATTGTGTAACACCTATAAATAACTATACATTTTCATCAAACCTATCTCAACCAACTGATTTGCTTAGTCCAAAAATATCATTTCTTCAAACCACACAACTGGATAATAACTTAAGATCGTTTATTCTTAACGAGATCACCTGTGTTAAAAAAGCTTTTAAAGCGGAGAAATTGCAGTTTAACAGCCAACTAGAACAACTCCGAGTCGAAAACGCTGTCTTAAGGGACGAAGTCAAGAGACTATCTAATGAAGTGCATAGCTGCAAAGATATACACGTTAACCTTAAGAAGCGTTTGATTGATCAAGAAAATATTTCTGCGTCACTAAAGAAACTCCTCACAACCAAGAATCCCTTTTGCAGCACAATATCCACCTCAACATGTGAGGATAATCAACAACTAATAAATGAAACAAAAATCACATCGGCAGGCATCATGCAAGAAGCTCCGTTCCCAATCCCTGTTAAAATTATACAACGTGATGACAGAGCGCGAATCAAACCATCGGAACATTCGAGTCCCAGCACCCTGCAACGACCACGAACTAAAAGCAATTCTACACAATACAGCGTCCCAACCGTCAAGTCTGTTCATGTCCCAGTTGTCCAACGCTCTACTCACTATGCCACTAATAGAGATAGCACACAACATGTCGCCGCCCCCTACACCAACCTAACAACGAAACACCATTTGATCCTTGGTGACTCTACACTTAAAGGTCTCCATCCTGATATAATGGCCACGGATCATTACGAGCGTGTATCGGTAATAGCGCTGCCTGGGGCAAATTTTGAAAAATTAGGGACGTTATTAGTAGCAGATCACGTGACTCTAATACCACAACTGTAATCTTACATTGTGGTGTCAACGACAGTCTATCAAACGTCAGACTGTCACAAGCTAATATGCTAGAAATTGTGAGAAGTATCACTCACAAATTTCCCAACGCAACAATCCGATTTTCATCCATCGTACCCCCATGTCGGGGCAAGGGTAGGCACTTGATAGATATAAATAATAGATTTTTACAGTCTTTCTGCATTAGTTATAAATACTGTTTTATAAACAATACACCTTTTTTCACTGCGAAGTCAGGTGCCCCGAGACAACGCTTGTACAGTGACAGTATTCATTTGATTAAAATTGGAAGCAGCATTCTCGCTAAAAATATAAAGTATCCCCAAAGAGCCGTCAGCTTAACAGATAAAGACCATGTGCAACTTTCAAACGTAAAAGGTACAACGTCTGATTTGGTTTCGACTGTTGATTTGCTTCCAACAATATCTTCAGATCAATTGAACTCTAGCCCAGGCTTACATCACTTAATGGGCTTTAGCCCTTTGTTGCTTCATCAAGCTCTAATGTTGTCGCTTAAGCGCCTTCCTGGAACCTAACTTTTTTCACTTACTATTTACTAGTTTAGCTCACTGTATTATTTTAATTATAGTGAAGGCAGTGTGAAGAGCAGCGAGTGTTTGTTTATTGGATGACAAAGCGTGTAATTGTAAGACAATTATATTGATTCTGTTTAATTAGTTCATTATATTGATTTTTGTTTATAACATCTCTTATTCATTGATATTTTATTATCTTTATGCATTGTCTATTTTCATCATCCTGGCCCTCACAAAGTGGGCTAAAATTGGGCCATTTAAATATTTTCCACATATTTAATAAACACCATGAAGTTCTAAAAATTTTAAACAATTCCAACAATCCTTTCCATATCTTTGGTTTCTCTGAAACTCGATTACAATCTTTTATAAATGATGTTGAGATATCCGTCTCTGATTATAACCTAATACGCCGAGACCCATCCTTACACAAAGAAACTGGCCTTTGTGTCTATGTCCACTCCTCAATTCGTTTCAAGTACAGGAAGGATCTGTCAACGGACAATATAGAATGTATTTGGATTGAACTCGAAAAAAGCAAACACCATCCGGCAATTTTAATTTGCTTCCTTTATAGAAATCCCTGTGAAAACATGGATTGGTATGATCGTTTTTGCTCCATGATGGATACCGTTTTATCTACTAACAATGAATATATCATATTGGGAGATTTTAATATAAATTTATTAAAACCTCAAGGATATTGGCAAGATATTGTTGATTCTTTGAATCTAAAACAATTTGTGCACACGGCTACCAGGGTAAATGATAAATCAAGTACAATAATTGACCACATATACGCATCACCTGACTGCAACCTAATAGAGGTCTGTGTCCCCTCTTGTGGTGTTAGTGACCACTTCCCTGTTTGTTGTACTTTTTCGACAAAAAGATTATGTGTACCTTCGCGGCAACACATAACTATAAGTTATCGCTCTTTTAGAAAATTTAATAAAAATCTTTTTCTTTCGGATTTATTGGCTGCCCCCTTCTGCAATGTATACAATTATAATTGTCCCGATCTTGCCATTTCTGAATGGCTGCGTATTTTCTATACTATATATGACAAACATATTCCTAAAATCTCTAAAAGAGTTAAGACTACATACAAGCCTTCTTGGTTTAACAACAATATCGAATCTGCAATTAATAAAAGAGACTGGCTTAAACGTTATGGATTTTCTGAGGACTTTTGTAGGCAGCGAAATTATGTCAAACTGCTCGTGCGTAGGTCGAAGAAGGAGTATTTTAATAAGCTGCTGTCAGGCAAACCTAATTCCAAATCTATCTGGACTGCTATAAATCAAATAATTAGAAAAAAACGCACATGTAATACAGCTGGACATTGCCAGATACCTGCTGATGACTTTAACAATCATTTTATATCATCTGCAGCGCTCAACACAGATGCTGATTACACAATCAGCGAGGAGCTTAAAAAATTTTGTAATTCTGCTCACCGTGGTAGGACAGAGCTGATCATTCCGCTTCTCACTGTTCATGAAGTATATGTTAGCCTAAGATCTCTTAAACCGTCTTCAACAACTTCGTTTGATGATATTTCTAATAATGTATTGAAGATTTCAGCTCCTATAATTTCCGAAGTTTTAACCTATGTCTATAACCTCTGTATTGCCAAGCATTATTACCCGACACATTTTAAGCATGCTAAGGTTATACCACTACACAAAAAAGGTAACATCCAAGATGCTAATAACTACAGGCCAATTTCTATACTTTCTTCCCTCTCCAAGCCACTAGAAATACATATAAACAAATGCATTTCAAATTACCTAGAAAAGCTCAAGCTTTTCCATAGTAATCAGTCTGGGTTTAGAAAGTTTCATTCTTGTCACACTGCTCTGATTAAGATGAATGAAAACTGGCTTATAAATATTAACAAAAACCTACTCTGTGGCTCGCTGTTTGTCGATTTCAGAAAAGCCTTTGATTCTATTGATCACACCATACTTCTTAAAAAACTAATTCCATACAAATTCCACGACTTTACAGTTCGGTTACTTCACTCCTTTTTATCTAACCGATCTCAACGCGTGTTTCACCTTAATACCATCTCTTCACAGAAATATGTTAATATAGGGGTTCCACAGGGCTCAATCTTAGGTCCTTTACTTTTTTCTTTATACATTAATGATCTTCCATTACATATTGACGCTGGTCAGTGCGAGATGTTCGCTGATGATACTTCTTTGCATGTCTTTGCAGACAGTGCTGAGTCACTCAGTTACAAACTTCAAACATGTGCCAATCAGCTTGCTACTTGGACAAAATTTAACAAAATGAAACTTCACCCCGATAAAACCAAGTCAATGTTTATTACAACTCATCAGAAACGCCTTCGTCTTCCATCCACCGCATTAAACATTACTATAGACAATTCAAACATTGAACAGGTAGACAGTTACAAATGCCTAGGATTGTTTATAGATCACAACCTCACTTGGTCTGACCATATTCATTTTCTAAGAATGTCCTTATTAAAGTCAACCTTTCAATTAGCTAGGATAAAGAACTTTCTCAACTATAGGAGCAGGCTGGTTTTTTATGAGGCTTTTATTCAATCCAGGTTGATTATGCTTCTGTAGTGTGGAGCGGCAGCTTTATATCTAAGCAGCGTCCTCTTCTTTCTTTACAAAAAAGGGCTATAAAACTGGTTACTGGCTTGTCTAGTAGTCTGGATTCTTTTCTTACAACTAAAATACTTCCATTAAATAAAAAGATAATATATACTAAATCAATTTTCTTATATAAAATATTCCACGAAACAGCCCCCTCTTACTTATCAGATCTGTTTTCTTTTAACATAAAATTAAATCGTCGTCTTAACTTACCATTCCCTTATTCAACCTTTTTCCAAAAACATAGCTTCGCCTACTCTGGTTCTAATTTGTGGAACAATCTTCCTAATAAAATAAAGCTATCTAGATCTGAAAATATATTCAAATCTAAACTAAAACTAAAATTATTTAATGACCTAACTGACTCATTGTAACATTTCTCATACATCTATTATATTCTCCGGGCCTATTAGCGTAGCTAATGATTAGATCTAGATCTAGATTCTAGATATAGCAAGAAAAACTAAACTTAAGACTTAAGAAAACGAGTCGTAGAATCTAGATCTAGATAATTCTATCTAGATCTAGATAATTTCAAACCTTCTTTATTTTATATAAATCTTTGTTTGGCTAATTTAAGATAAAATTTAATTTGAAAGTTACTACTACTAGACTTAGATCTACATCTATGCGCGTAAATAAAGTTGCATATGGAGACTCATAGTATAGTATAAAAATTCACTTGTGACGTCACGAGTAAATAGCTATGTTGGTAGAGTAGTCGGCTCTCATGCAAGTGACACGGGTTCTAGACCAATGTCAATGATATTTTTGTTTTCAATTTTTTTTTAGATGTGAATGATAAAGTTGCCTATCTGAACTTGGTAGGATACAGGGCAGGTGAAGTAGAGTTCATCTATTTCTTTGTCCTAAGCATATGAAAGGATAGTGTGGTCAGAGACATGCTCGGCTGGAATTGTTTTTTAAACGATAAAAACATGTTGTCTGAGACTTGGCGGGACACTGGGCAGATGAAGTAGAGTAGGTCACCTGTGACGTCAGTATATGAAGGGATAGTCCGAAATCGGTGTTTTCGGTGTATTTAAAAGAAAAAAAACATATTTTTGAATGTGGGGTCTGTTTTTTGTGACGATAAGTGACACTGCAGTAGCGTAGCGAGGAGGGGGTGGGGGGCGCCTTAGAAGGCGCCAAAATGGGTTGGAAAAATAAATTGAAAAGTTGATGGGGGTGCAAATTGAAAGTTTGGGTGGGGGGGGGGGTTCAAATCAAAATATTGAGGGGGGGGGGGTGCATATCAAAGTTTGGGGGGGGGGGGTTGTAAATCGAAATCTTGCGGGGGGGGGGGTGGGTTCAAATTGAAAAGTTTGTTCCCGGGCGCCGGGAAGGGTCGCTGTGCCTCTGAGTGACAGACGTGATGTTTTTTGATGGATGACCCCCGGAACCCACAGTTATCCAACGGATGACGGGTACTCTAGTGTCACTTAAATGTACACATCTTTGTTCTAAATTATTGTAAATAATCATTCAGTTAGTATTATTTTGCTTTTTTTTCCTACGGTAAACTAGACTGTACATTATTCCAGTCACATAACTGTGCTGCAAATTTGTATGGATTAGGCATGCTTACAGTATAGGGGAAAAAGAAAGAAAATTACAACATTACCCAAGACAGCTTTAGTTCCTTTCCCTTCGCATTATAAAATAACTCGATACTGTAATGTTTTTATAAACCACAACCAGAGCCGTAGATTATAAATACAAAATGCAAACGATGAATTTACTAAAATTTTGATTTCGCCAAACTTGGACGAGATTATTGTTACACAAACACAATGACCTGTTATTTAGAGTGAATCTTTCAATTAGTTTTATTTATTCCAACTGGTGAGGTAGGATAGTGTCACATGGGGTCTGACACTTAAGTCTACGTCTACCACAGTTATTCTCACGGACAGTAAAGGGGTTGACATCTGATCACTGAGGCGTAAAACTAATCAGGCATTTACTGAGAGCTGATTCAACTTATTTTAATCTAGTTTCAAGTGTAACTATCCGGCTGTAATCTAATGCTGAGAAAAAGTCGTACAAACTTGGTCAACGTGACTACAACAGCCGCTATTTCTACAGAATATTTTCCAACCAACATGAGAATGAGTGCTGCACACGAAATGTAGTGAGCGACTTTGTTTTCTTTTAAAATATGTGCTGGCAGCTTATTGCAGATAATTGACATTTTACTTAATAAGTCTCTAATTTTATTAACCAATTTCAATTAATACGTCTTCAATTTTCCAAATTGTTTAATGTATATACAATATAAAAATGAGTTGGTTTTTTTTTCTCCATATATGGTGCTTTCATGTATATTGTTGTAAATGTATGTAGTAAGTATAATGTAGTTGTTTTATTCTATAGGGGTAACGGTGATGATCTTTTGACGCCTAATTTTCATATTGCAGGATTGATTTTGATCGCTTGTCAGGAAATTTTGCGACTTCTTTTATTTAGGTATTTGTATGTGATTTCAAATGACTGCTTGGCTATTCGACGGTTTACCTGGAATGTGATTTTCGTGCATTCTATACTTCAAATTTGCAACAACAAAAAATGCAGCAGGGGAAGTAACGTTTAAAATAGTTACATTTAAACATTATAGAATTAAACAGTTAAAAGTAAATGCTTCTTCAAAGTAGCAAATTACACGTTCAATGAAATATCTAAACCACGACACTTTAATCACGAAGCTTTTTACTAGTTTTATACAAGCTCTTCCCTTGTTATTAATCTATATTTCCGCCGCTACATACATTATTCATAATAATGAATCAACAACGCCTGTCCTTTTATGCTGTAAAGAAACGTGATGATGCCCTAACACTGTCTGATGACAACAAACAGGGAGATTCCATTCAGTCTATCGCACGTCGTCTTTGAGGTACTATGCAAATCTTCGTGCAAACCCTTGCTGGAAAAAAATTCAACATTGAGGTTGATCCATCAGACACCACTGAAATTGTCATGGACAAAATATGTGAAAAAGAAGGCATTACACCAAACAAACAACGTCTGATATTTTGTGGCACCAATCTTAAAGCTGGTCGCAGATTGTCAGATTACAACATTAAGAAAAACGAAACCATTTATCTTATGCTTCGTCTGGGACATAACTAATACTTGACCCTTTCATTGAATAACCCAAGCTCAATCACTATGGTACTCTATTTGCTGTTCTTCTAAAGTCAATTTCACATTTTTAGTAGTCAAGTGATGAAAATGTTAGGCTGAGGTAAACAATTGACCGACAAGCTAATCACTAATGTGGCATGGTAACCGAACCTAAGCATATATTGTCAACATTTTTTTTTTAATGTTCCCAAAGTATAGTAGACAGTTTGCTCTACTAGTGTGTTTTGTAGTTTTGTTTTAAGTCATGGCTTAACGTTACAGGATAACTCAACATTTAAGTCGGGAAAAATAATTATTTCCTTTTTTAAATTTTTTAACAAAAGGTATTAGAGATTTCAATGCATGTGTATGTCTGTATGCATTGTTATGTATAATAGTTAAACATAATTCAATGTAGTGTGTTTTTATCTTAATATTACACTTAGGCGGGTCTTCTATAATATAACCATGACTTTTATCACACTATACTGCATTTTAACATTGATCTCTATTACACCATACTGCTATGTAACAAAGATTTATATTAAACTCTAATCATTAATTAATTTAATTTGTCTCACATTGTTATTATAAAGTCATTGATACAGATTTTAGTTACAGCTTTTGTGTTTATCACGTGTAGTGTCTGAGTAGGAACATAATAATCGACTTTTATTGAGCATTTGTACAATTAGTTTTGCTCGACTTTTTGTTTTTACTTAGATGTTAGAAGAAGAAGTAGAGAACAGTTCAACTACAACAATAATTATACTGTTATTAAAGAGATCAAACGCATATTACATGTTATTTTAACACACAGAAGAACAAATCGCCATAACTACACATATGTTTTTTATTATTTAATATACGTTGCCACTATTTGCTGTGATGGGTTTGATTTGTGATAAGACAGAAATAAAAATGTTGATTTCCACTTTAAAAATCGTCACGTTTAATTAATTTTAATAGATAGTTGCTTGAAATGAGAACACCGTCAAAGACAAGAACAATTTACAACGACATTAAAAGACAGCGGACCCGAAACAATAACAAACACAAAAATGTCCCAGTAAAAACAATGTACAGCTTAAAATTGAAAATAGCATCAAAGATATACACGACAGAGAACATTACCCAAAAAAAAACATCACCCAAAAGCTGGAATGTAAACACGACTGGACGATGTTAAAAGGGGGCCTAAGACATTTATGTTATTTTTTTTTTAACTTATCTTTTGTAAATTATGTTTAAAACATGAGCTAGATAACAGCTAAATACTTACAAGTCTAAGGAAAATCTAACTTCTACCCACTCCACTAGTAGAAGACATTAGAGTAGGTCAACCAGTACACAACACTCAAGGGAAGACGACGATTTAGATAACGTCTTTGTAAAGGAAAAAGAGAGGACAAAAAAAAACAAAAAAGAAATTCTTTTAAAATCGTAAACAGCTGAGTGAAGGTGACAGCCTTGAACCACAACTGTACACATGAGACGATTAAGGAGACAGGTCAAAGGGAAACAACAATTACATATATTTATCTTATAAGTATTTTTAGGTCCTATGTTGATGTACCTGTCATCGAGATGTCAACCCGAGGCTGTCATGGAAAAGTTGTCCTGTTGACAGTCCCTGTTATGTTGCTGTATGTATGGCTGGGTAGTGGTGAGTACCGGTACTGAAAGTATGTAGAGTGATGATATTGTTATTCGTTCTGATTATTGTAACACTGCAATCTATTTTATTGTCTGTAATAAGTAATAAATTTATTGAAATGCCAAGTTATATTTTTAGTTTAATATTAATGTTGCATTTATGTTTTAGTGGAAGTAATTAGTTTGCTCAGGTCTTATATATATATATATATATATATATATATATATATATATATAAATATATATATATATATATATATATATATATATATATACCATATTTATATAATAAATAACATGTGCGTTTGCGTGTGCGGGTGTTTCTGTGTGTACATAAAGATTTATGTATAGATGTCTGTATTTTCTTTTTGTAGGTTAAGTCTTTGAAGCGTTACACTCCACCTGTTCCTATCACTTCCTATCTACACTGCAACTTCTATCCCCCTTATGTCACGTCAACTACCAACTGTTCTGTATATGACGACTTTGCTGCGGTTGACTTTTTAGACTTCCACTAATTTTCTGGACCCACTAGTACAACTACAGAGTTTCTTTAGATAATATTTGCTCCAGTAAAGGATTGCTAGCTTCTCCTCGACTTGAATTCAAACTGGCCTTCACTTTTCTCCAGGCTTTAACTTTGCTTGGCTACCATTGGTCACTTTGTTTGAGCCGTTCCGGCTGATCCAGCTATGACCTAGTTATTAGACATAAAACATTACGTCATCACACAATATGTAGCTTGTTCTTAGCATTAAAGGCAGCAGTTGTTTGATTTTAGATTTTTCTCCCCTACATGGGTGTTGTCATCAGCTAACGGGCCTCAATTGCCCGTGGTTTTGCGCTCAGGCGTTTTGGGTTAATTCTCCCGCTCTAACCCTTCCGACCATTCCGTAACCAAATGTGTCTATAAACGAAGGTTGTGTGAGTTTAGAAAGAAATAAACATAGACAAAAGCAGTTGAAATTAATATTTTAAAATAAGCAAAATTATATGAATATACATAACAAATAATTTTTAATTTATCGAAATACGTCATTCATTAACACGTTAAACTATCTAGTTTATAAAATCAGATTATTATCATATAAAATGTTACTAGAGTAAAAGTAAGTTAGCCTTTACGATAAAGACGAAGAAACAAAATAACTTGTTATTACTGATGTCAACCGTTAAAATATCTGTTACTCTTTTTGTTACTCCTTTAAACAATGTTTTTTCCTATACATGTTATGATGTATGAGCATTAGACGTCAAGAAGGGAACAAGAAAAAAGTGAACATTCACAATCTTTATAGCCGGTGTGTGAATATAAAATATCTCCAGTTTTCATCCGAACCTCAAATGTTCTTGAAGCTTCCACAGATGTATCGTGTGTACTAACACCAGCAAGCCATGACAACACACCACCAGATTTGTACCCAACCCAAGCTCCTACAGCACGATCTCCTGTTTGTTTTATTGTAAGACTTCCTTTATACAGGCCATCAACAGGGGCGGTAAACTCTCCGGTCTTTGGATCAAAATGGTTTCCTACGTTACGTTCTACACTGTTGAATGTAATAACTGTGTATAATTCACGGTTTGTCCCGTCCCAGCGACCGTGTGAAGCAATAAACCCCAGTGTATGTTTCACTTGTTGATTGGCTGCATGAAATAAAATAGAACTAAATAAATTGTACATACAACGTACATTTAACCTAATTTTAAAACACTTGTTGGATGTATTTAGGCCAATTTTATCGATATACTTTATTTTAATTAATTATATTAATTATTATATTTTATCACAATATTATTCAGCCAAATCAACCAGGAATTTGTTTGCATAGATTTATAAAACACACATTCAAAAACAAGATATTTTCCAAGTAAACAGTAAGTTGTATATTGAATGCCCGTAAACCACACAAGAACTAAACTATACACATTATGGACTAATTGTTTGTTAATTTAAATAACAACAACAACAATATTTTGACGGTTGATGCCCAAGATACACAATAGAAGTGTAGGGCTCGCCTAAAAACAGAAGACTACATTTAATCTATCACTCCCTAGCTATTGGCTACAATTTTTTATTTTTTTTAAAAATTATTTTAGGTGGGTTATTTCCCTTTCTCAAGTAACCAAACGTGTCTCCCACTCAGAATTTTTTCCTGGCATCTAGAAAAAATTCTACCGCCCCCCCCCCCCCCCGAACATTACATTTCTGGTATAGGATGAAGCAAAAATAATTCCAATAATAACAATTAGAAAATGCCCACACGTTTTTCCATGACATTATTCTATAGTTTAAAAGCCCTTTATTAATATAATTATAAAAACAAAATTTCTTTTATATTACATTATTTTGAGAAAAAATGTTTTCAAATTAATGTTCATGATGGATTGCAATGTTTTATTTACACTTTCATGTGGAAATTTGTTTAATATATAGATAATGAATTTGTTATAGAGCATAGTTTAACTTAATTAATGAAAGCAGAGGCGTAGCGACCCTTCCCGGCGCCCGGGGACATACTTTCAATTTCGCGCCCCCTTGGGAGCAAATTTTCGATTTGCACCCCCCCCCCTCGAACTTTTCATTTGCACCCCCCTCAAACTTTCAATTTGGCGTCCCCCTAAGGTCGGCGCCCGGGGACGTATGTCCCCCCCCCCGCCCCCCCCCCCCCCCTCGCTACGCTACTGAATGAAAGCATTAGTAAAAATAAAATCCGTTTCTCAAAATAAAAAGTTATACAAAAAACAACTCTTAAAAATACCACACTGACCACTACTTAGTATAGGTCTATATTTTTCATTTGAAGAAAAAACGTTAGCCATGTAACAATTATTTATGTTAGTTATCTTACCTGACATTATTTTACTTACCAAATGTCTGAGAATCCCCTGACAAGAATAAAACATCTTTTTCTTGAGTTTCAATCTAAGAATAGAACAATAACTAAGAAATAACTTATTTATATTCATATTACAAACTATAGATTTCAGTAGAAACATGTTACTTTATTCAGTTTTAAATTTACATCTAAGACACATTACTAGAGTGTACAAGAAGAATTCAAACTGCAAGTTTCAAAATGGGATTTATTCATCACATTTATAATTTATAATAGTCATTCTTTTTAGTTTAATCTGATCTTCTTGTTCTAAATTTCTTATTTGAATTCAATATATTGTTAAATATATTTTTTTTCACATATTCACTTTAGGTTTTTTTTAAAGGTTTACTTCGGCATCTGAAATTACCGGTTTTAAAATAAAATGGTAAATATCTGAATATTTTTTATTTTTTTTTTATTAATTCTTTTTGTACTTTTACTATCTTATAAATATAACTTGTACACTAAAGCCTATGAGATTTTGTGTTCATATTAGTTCTATTTTTTTAAGATTAAAACAAAGTCAGGTGTATAATTACCCCCAATCTACTGTACATACACATTAAAAGTGGCATAAATATACATTTCCATTTTTATTTGTATGTATTGTATATTAAGAACATTCTAATATGACAAGCCAGGGGCTCGAGTGGAACCCAGGGAAAATGAAAGTGAGGGTGCCCAAGATAGATCTGGAGGCTGAGTCTTCTTGAAGAACTGACGATAGAAGGGGTCTTGGGAGGTTGCAAAGACAACAGTGTGGGAAAGAACAAAATGGAAGGTTATGGTTGAGGCTCTATGCTCCACAAGAAGTAAAGAGGATTAAGTAAAGTCATAATTAAAAAAATGCTTAGAGGCACTAAAAAGATGACATGACAAAACATCAACTATTTTACTATTAAATAGTTATATAATATTCTGGTATAGTATAGCATATATAAATACAATGTAGTATATAGTATTTAAGGAAAATATTCAAACATGTATAAAAACAATCTATACATGTATTTTACCTTCACTTTTCTCTCTTTAGTCTCAAAATGTCTATTAAAAGTTTGAATCATTTTGTCAATAGGCATCAATCTTTGTTGTAGAAGTTTACATACAACAGTGTGCTATTGAATAAGATAATTGGTAGTAATGCATATAAAAGAAATTCATATTAAACAAAGTGTATGTCAAAATGAGCATAAATTGAGTGATATAAAACATTTTAAATAAAAGATATCAGATAAAAATTAATCAGCTTACTACAACTTTTATAAATTATTACCTTAGACAGTATATTTTCACACAATTTAGTTGTATGTACAATGTTTTTCTTTCCATCGTCTTGTATTGCAGATATCAAATCTGAATGGCTCCTAATTTCTTGTGATACATTTTCTTTTTGATTTCTCTGAACCTGTATCTCTTTATTCATATTGTCTAAATTGCTTTTGCAATCTATCGAATCTATTGACATTTTCTCTAACATTTTATTAGATAATGATTCCTTTTCTTTTAAACTTTCCATTTCTTCATAAAGCTTTTCTACTTTGTTATCTTGTTCGTTTATTTCTTTCCCAATGTTTTTAAAGTTTTGCTTATGTTTCTTGGACAACTTTTCAAATTTTATCCCTATATTACTTTGTTCTGTTTCAAAGTTGTCTCTCCATTGTTTTATTTCTGATATGTCATCTTCAGTCTTTTGTTTGGTGCCTTGAAGGGATGATAACGTTGTTTCAATATCCTTTAGTCTTCTAGATATTTCAGAATTGTATTCATCTGTTAGGTAAAATATTAAAATGTGGTAATAGGTGACTAAACAAAAATTTCCTTATATTGACAAAAAAGAGTAATGTTAATATAAATACTTTGAATTCAAGAAATGTATAGTAAATTAAACATTCAGGTAAACAAATCATGCTTCATACTATTTGTGGTATTGATTTAATATATTAGATGAAATAGAATGAAATAAAAAATATTACAATTCATGTTCTTCTCATACAATGCTATTGAAGTGCTAACTATTTTGATGAATCATTTTGACGGTAGGACTTGTCAACCATACGAGACAATATCAGAATATGTTGCTGCTTTACGTCATTTAAGTAGATTTTGTGAATTCGGAGACACGCTGTCTGACAGACTATGTGAAAAGTTTGTGACAGGTGTAAACGGCCCTGATGTTCAAAGAAAGTTGCTTCTCGAGTCAGATCTCACATTGGATAAAGCAATACAACTTGCGACTTCATTCCAGCAGTCATCCGATGCGGCGAAATCTCTAACACCCACAGTAAACAGCAGGTTAGTCAACAAACACCAACCCCATCAGAGCATTTCAACTTATGCTAAACAGCCTGCACGTTCAGATCCTAGATCTAAATCTAGTAATAATGATCAAAAATGTCATCGATGCAAAGGTCCCCATGCATCTCATCGATGCAAGTTCAAATCAGCAACTTGTTATAAGTGCAGTACGCAAGGTCACATTGCCAAGGCCTGCTTTGCAAAGACTTCGTCTGTTGCTAAATCTAGCCAGTCAAGACAGTACCGCAACCAAAGGCAGCACTATGTTAACTCTCACCAAGACTACCTAACCCAACCAATGAACCACTCTACCTGTGAAAATACTCAAACTGATTCGCAGCCGGATTTCAACCTGTTCTCTGTGAAATCAATAAGTCATGCTCCCATCAATGTACTAGTTAATATCAACGGTAAGAGCATCAGCTTCCAACTTGACACTGGAGCATCTCTAACAGTCATCGCAAAGAAGGACTTTGACGCTGTCACAGGAGGATCAGTGTCTCTACAACCATGTCACAAGTGCCTAACAACATACACTGGTGACAATGTTCCGGTAATAGGAGAGTGTATGGTTCATGTAAGTTATAATGGTCAAAGTGTTAAACTTCCTCTTCTTGTGGTTGAAGGAAATGGACCACCATTACTAGGTAGGAACTGGTTAGTTGATCTTAAGTTAAATTGGGAGAGTATATTTTCAGTGATCAATGCAAGAGAATCTAGTCTTACTTCAATAAATAAAGTTATATCTGAAAATAAATGTGTTTTTGGTAATCCTGGATTACTAAATGATAGAACAGTGAAGATAAGCATTAAAGACACAAATCCAATATACTGCAAAGCTAGAGTTCCACCTTATGCAATGAGGAATAAAATTGAAAATGAGCTAAGTAGATTGGAATCTAATGGCATCATAAAGAAGGTAGACTATTCCGATTGGGCAACGCCCATTGTGCCAGTGTTAAAGAAGGATGGTTCTGTAAGAATTTGTGGAGACTATAAAGCCACACTGAATAAGCAAATAGAGCTAAATAGGTACCCTATTCCTAACATTGAGGAAATTTCTTTGAATTTGGCAGGAGGAGACAAATTCACTGAATTAGACTTTAGTCATGCTTACACTCAACTAGAACTGCATCCAGATTCAAAAGTCTATACGACAATAAACACACATAAAGGACTCTACCAATATGAAAGACTATGTTTTGGTATATCATCCAGCCCTGGAATTTTCCATGCTGTCATGGACAGTATTTTTAAGGATATTCCAAATATTTGTGTTTACTTTGACAATCTGTACATAACTGGTAAGAATGACACTGAACATCTTAAAACACTAGATAAAGTCTTGAAAATAGTTGGTGAAAAAGGGTTAAAGATAAACAAAGATAAATGTCAATTCAAGCTGACAGAAATTAGTTTTCTTGGTTATATATTAAGCAAGCAAGGTATCAGACCTCAACCTGAGAAAACAAAAGCTATTAAAGAAGCACCCAAACCTGAAAATACCCAACAACTAAGAGCTTTTTTGGGCTTGATAAATTACTATGCAAAGTTCATAGGAAATATGTCTGGTAAACTATCACCACTGTACAAGCTGCTACAGAAAAATGCAACTTGGCACTGGGGTAAACAACAAGAAGCTGCTTTTAATACAGCAAAAGAAGCTTTGTCTTCTGACACATTACTAACTCACTATGACCCAGGGAAAAGACTTGTCTTGACATGTGATGCTTCACCAGATGGTGTAGGAGCAGTCTTGTCCCACATGGATGAAAAGGGTGACAGACCCATTGCTTTTGCCAGTAGATCTTTGAACCAGGCTGAGAAAAATTATTCTCAGTTAGATAGGGAAGGCTTAGGCATCATTTTTGGTGTTAAGAAATTTCATAAGTTTCTGTTTGGTGGAAAGAGTTCACCATCTTTACAGATCATAAGCCATTGCTAGGCTTATTTGGAGAAAACAAACCCCTACCTGAGCATGCCTCACCAAGAATTCAAAGATGGGCTATCACACTAGCCGCATACAATTATGAATTGAGATACAAACCTGGATCTGAGAATAGTGCAGATAGTCTTAGTCGATTACCTTTAAAAAAACCAAAGCCTTAGTTATGAACCAGAAGATGTATTTGTTCTCTTCACTATCATGGATAACTCCAATATAAATGTGAATGATGTTAAAAGAGAAACACAAAAAGATGAGTGCTTAATAAAAGTATATGAGTACTGTAAAAATGGTTGGCCTAAAGAGTCTGTGAATGATGACTTAAGGCCATATAAAATAAGAAAAATGGAATTAAGTCTAAAAGATGGAGAAGATGCAGTCCATTATCAGTCAGAGTTACCTAAACAAAGTATTTATAACTTAATAAATGATTATGGTGATATGGCAATTTCAAATGCTTTTAAAGAGAATACATTAGTAAGAAGGAATGTGATCATCAAACAACTTTGCTAACATCATTAGCACTTACAGAAACTAAAAGGGTAACATCAAAAGAAAAAAAAAAGATTTTTGCCATTTAATACACCCACTTCAAATACTGGATCACAGTTGCAAATTGATATGGTCCAGGATAGTACTTTTAAACAGTATTTTTGGTTACCAAAAAGCACTATCAGATTACCTGAGAAAATTGATCAATCAAAGAAATCTATGTCAGTTAAGGATCTGAATAATAGCATAATACTTTCAGATGCCAATTCAAAAATAGTTCCTTTCTATCAAAAAAAAAACATCCCAGGATAAACCTGTAAAATTAATTAACAAGCCAAATACTTCTGAAACTTCTAGGTATTTGGAAATCAAAAGTAAATCATGACAAATCATCCATTGAAAGAGAATTTGGATTTAATGATAATGTGTATCTGAGAAATTATGGGAGAAGGGAAAAATGGATACCAGGTCAAATTGTTCAATGTACAGGACCTGTGTCTTATAAAGTAAAAACAAATGATGGACTTATTGTCCGTAGACATGCAGACAAGTTAAAAATAACTTGTGCAGATAATAAGTGTGAATCTATCAATCCCACCAAATCTGATCAGTTCACCCCAACTCAGTTTGTTCCACAACCAAGTTCTGTTGATATGAGTGAACCAAGTTGTCTAGAGTCAGAAAATGTAAATTCTGGAATTAATGATTTAAATCCTAGACCTCCCGAGATAGAGAATCCATATGGTCAGAATCTTGAGTCACCAAATCAAAAGCCACTGAGAAGGTCAAACAGGACAATCAAAGTCCCAAATAAGTTAGACCTATGATTTTAAAGGTCAAAAGGACTTTGACATCATTGTTTTGTATTTTAATTATGTTGTAACATATTGTGCATTGTTTGTAAGGATGTAATCTACCATAATGTTCATGTTACAATATATTTGGTGATTTTAGGATACTGTAGATTGTTCTATCGAGAGATGTGTTGTGTTTACTAAGGGTAAAGGGATGTAATATAGTGAGACTTGTGAAGTCAAGGGAACTCACTCTTCTTGTATTAGTATTATATTTATACTGTTATCTTGAGTGATGTCCCTTATATGTTTATATATATTTGTGTCTCTCGTCACTTCCGCCCTCTCTTTCCATCATGCCTGAATAAAGGCTAGTTAACAACCAACGCGGCTTCTCGTCAGTGTTTCCAATCCATTACACACTAAAAATGCACACCAATGCAAATGAAACAATTATGATTTACCTGCTGTACAAAATAACTGATGCTACTCTGTAGATAAACATTTGACTCATCCAATAGTTCAAGTTGACAAGACAAATGTTTCTTTAAATGTTGATACATCTGCAAAATACATATTTTAAATTATTTTACTTAGATGATACATTTTTAGTCAATTAAATTTCTTAATCAGATTCTTTCATATTTTAAATGATAAAATTTAAAACTAAATTAAATTTGAGAATAACTATTGACTAATAATTATAAAGTTATTCTAGGTTATTAACATATATGCATTGATCTATAATCTGTAACATTGTCTAACTTTTAAAATGGGTATACTTTATTTTGGAACTACATTTATATTATTGAGACCACTATTGTTTTAATTTTCGTTTTGTAAATTACATCCAAACACACATTACACTCCTAAATTATATTTAGGTCTAAATCAGTAATACCTTAAAATTATTTTAATTTTGTTTTACAGACGTGAAACAAAATGGCTTATCTTCTTTTCCTCTTAACACTGAAAAATAATAACGGGAAAATCCAATTTCTCTGAATTGTTCAATTCATTTTGTGGAATTAAAATTTAGAATCTTTAAGTGTTTACTATTTGATATTTTTGTTATTAAATTATATACAAACAGTAAAACAATATACTTTATATGGTTGCTAAATGTTTTTAAAGAGCTATATTATAATTCATCTTGTGTATAACGCGTCTAGTATTGCCTTAACATGAATAAGGAATGAAAGTGAAACCTTTACATTGCTGCTGAGTCAACGCGTATTTTTCTTATATGTTATAACACCCTACTGCTATTTAATTAACAAAGATTTATATTAGTCAAATCAATAATGAATTTCATTTGTTTCACTTTATTATAAAGACATTGATACATTTTTTAGTTGCAGCGTCCTTGTCGATCGTGTGTGATGTATAAGGATACTGACTGTCTTTAATAGCGCATTTGTGCAATATGTAGTTTGCTAAATTTTTTATTGTTTTTTAGTTTATTTGTTTTTGTGTTTTTGTGGGTTTTTTTCTTTTTCTTTTTTTTTTTTTTTTTTTTAATTTTATTTTAAATTATTTCAATCCCAAGTGTTCCGGCGATCACTGGTGTTGCCGAACAAATTTTAAGCACTTGATGTTCCAGTGTTCTTGTAATTTTAGTCAGTGTATCAACTAGTCTTTAATTTGACTCCATCTCCTCCCCATCCCGTTCCATGTCCACTTCCACCATCTGTTTTCTCTGTTTGAGGACAGCTGCAGGTGACTTGATAAGATGCATATATTTTTCCACTTCCCTTCTGTCTGCTTCTTTTCTGAGCTCTTTTCCTTTTTTTAATTAGCAATGAAATTATTTTGTCTTCTTGTGCTAATTTCTTCAATTCTTTTCATTGCTTTCACTGTATTCTGCCATAATTCTTTATTATATTTTACATGTTTATTTCTCCTCTTGTCAAACTCTAAAAATGCATCAACTGTAAGTTCATTTCCAGCAGCCTTACTGAATGCTTTAGTCCAGCGAGCCTTGCGTGGGTTGCGTTTCTTCTGGAACAACTTATGACACTTTAAACGACAAAATCTAAATATCTACAAAATGTATTCATTGGCCTGGTTACATAGGAGGTGAACAGAAAAAAAACACTTACGTACTCTCATTTTCAATAATTTTTTAGTCAAATTTAAATCAAAACACCTTACTGTTAAACGTTTTTAGTTATCAGAAGTGTAAGTAGAGAGCACTGCAATGAATTTTGTTAAAGTACGTTGATAAAAGATATTAAGAAGTTAATAAAGTAAAGAATAGAATGTATATTATCTTAACACAAAAAAAATGATTTAATTTTAAACTTTAATGCCACATTTTGCCAGTTATGTAATTTTTTAGCTTGAAATTATGTTTAAGTTTCTAAATTTTATTTTGTCTATAAAAATGTATTTGTCTGGTTTTATTATTGGTGCCCTCCTTTATTTAATTTCAAAGGCAACATGGGAGATTATAAATGTTAAACAGCATTATATTTTTACAACGTTTGATTGGGGAGCGTTGTTACACACGTAAGTTTGTCTGTATATAATATACGTTGCAAATATTTGACGAGTTCTGTTTGTGATAAGATGTAAATAAATTAATATGTTGACTTTCACTTTAAAATCATTACGTTTCACTGATTAGGAACGATAGTTGCTTGAAATGAGGATACCGTCAACCAAATCAAAGAAAAGATTAATTTACAAAGACATAAAAAGACGAAGAACCCAACAAAATTACAAACACAAAAAAGACCCAGTGAAAACAACGTACAGCTTAAAATTGAAAAATAGCATCTAGACATTGAACATTAGCACACGAATGTTACCAAACCTTGAAAAACGGCTGAAAAATGGCTGACATCTTTACCAAAAGCCAACCTCAAAGATATACAAGACAGAGAATATTACTTGACGAAAAATCACTCAACCAAAAGCCGGACTGTAAACACGACTGGATGATGTTAAAAGGGGCCTTAAGACATTTATGTTATTTTTTTTTCTTAAATAAATTCTCCATTATAAATTATAGTTAAAACATTAGCTAGACAACAGCACAATACTGACAAGTCTACGGAAAATCTAACTTCTACCCACTCCACTAACAGAAAACATTAGAGTAGGTCAGCCAGTACACAACACACCAGGGAAGACGACGATTTAGATAACATCTTGGTGAAGGGAAAAGAGAGCACGAACCAACAACTAGACCCGACAAACTCTCTAAACAAATTCATTAAAAACTGTAAACAGCTGAGCGACAGTGACAGACTTGACCCACAACTTTACACAGAGGACACAATCTTAGAGACCATAAGGCGACATAAGGAGACTGGTCAAAGGGAGACAACAATTAAATATTTTCATCTTACAAGTATTTTTAGGTAGCTTTCCAATTTTTTCTAAAAAAAAAATATAATATGCGTGAAAAATCTATGTAATCATACTAAATTTTTGTAAAAAAAAGTTATTTTACATTGGTAAAAATTAAAGCCGTTTGGGAACCATCGATTACACACATTTTTACATTTTTGTATCGAATATAAGCTGTTGAAAAGCCGTTTAGAATTATTTTATCAATTTAAATATTTTCAAAAACTGCCCTACAACAATAAAAGTTAGAACAATTGTTCCCCATAATAAAAATACACAACAGTGAACTATAGTTAATAGCGTAGTATTTTATTTATATTAAATAATATAACATCCCTAATCACACAATACCCTGACTCTACTAATCCAAATAAAAAATAAAAGTGTTTGTAAATCACTATTATATTCTACAATTATTATTGTACTTTTTGTTTTTTTGTCTGCTGATTTCATATTCGACCTTATTTGATGCGTGAATTAACGGTAAGCTCACTTTCGGAAAGGTTCCTGTTTAATCAAGTCAAGTCTTTGATGTTTGCAGCTAACAAAATTCTGAAGGCTCTATAGTGTATTAAGGATTATCCGTCTCTATGGGAAGTTTGTGTTTTGGAGGATATGAGGCCTACAAATGGGAAAAATTGTGTTTGAACAAAGAAACTGTTTAATTTTTTTTTTAAATTAACAAAAATACTTATTCAGGCAAACGTTATGTCATAGTGTATTGTCATCAATAGGGAGATATGTGGGGGCACTATGGTATACTAGATGGTAGGCCATGAATTAATTTTTGTGAAAAACTGTGTCATTACTGTCATTGAATTTATTTTTCTTTAAGTTTATATTCGAGTATATTATTTTACGCGAATAACACACCATGAGTTAATTGATTGTGTTCTTTATAATCGTTGTTGTCTCCCCCACCCCAACCCGCTCCCCCTGATCAGCGAGCCATAAAAATGATAGGTCAGGTGTAACAAAAGCATTATAAACTAAGATCTGTTTTAGTTACATTAGGCGGGATGTAAAGGATGAAATAAGCCAATCATTATGAAGGGCAATATTGTTATTTACAAAATACTAAAGAGACAGGCAACTTTAATATTATTAAGACCTGCATTAGAAACTGGCATTAGAAAAATTAAGCAAGGTAGACAACACAATTCTGACGGTTAATTAAGCGATAACTCTTTAATACAATACAGAACAAGGCTGATTACAATAAGAAACAAAACATGTGTGACTCAGCAATCTCTAGCGACAACAAAAAACGATCGGCAATCTACGAAAAACAATTTGTTTGCTATTGTTTAGGAAAATATCTAAATATTTAGTATCAAAATAGTAATAATATGTTTAATATGTAATGACTATCAATAAAAGTCCTAATAAAAGTTTCTAATATGTTGAAAACAAGTTCGGATTCTATTCTACATTTACACTTTAATAAATGCTAATAATTGTACAACATATTGATATTTTATTGTTTAAATACAATTAATCTCCTTCCAAATGTCGTGTCATGATTTCTGAAGGGAACAAGAAAAATGCGAACATTCCAAATCCGGTGAGTTAGCTGCTGAAAATAAAACATCTCCAGTTCTCAATCTCACCCGAACCTCAAAATTCCTTGAAACTTCAACAGATTTAGATTTTGTCCAAACATCCCCCAGCCAATTCGTCTTACCACCAGATTTGTGATAAACACCAGCTCCTACATTAAGAGCTCCTGTTTTTTTAATTGTAAGACTTGCTTCATACAGGCCATTAGCAGGGGCGGTAAACACTCCAGTCTTTGGATCAAAATGGTTTCCTACGTTACGTTCTACAGCACTGAATGTAATAATTTGGTATCCGTCATACATTTTCCCTTCCAAGCGACCTTGTGAAGCAATAAACCCCAGTGTAGAAGGTTTCACTTGTTGATTGCCTGCAAGAAATAAAATACATAAAGTATCTAAACATTACCAAATACTTAATACTAACTATTTTTTTTTAAACTTGTTTTTGAACTTAGACTAAATTTTTACCTTAGAACTGTTCCGAATCAAGTGACGCAGCTTTTAGACATACATTTATAAGATAAATTTCAAGAAAAATATTATTTTCTAACTAGATTTCTAAGTAAAAAGTAAGGATTAACTTTGTATATTGAATGCATGTAACCACACAAGACACCAAATCATGTAAATTATGGACCAATTATTTCTTCAGAAGTTTGAGGTCTATAAAAGGGGAGCCTCAGCCCAAGACAGAAGACTACTTTTAATCTATCATTCTCGTACTTTTAGCTAACATTAGTTTCACAATTTTTTAAGTTGGGTTGTTTCCCTTACAAATAAAACAATGGGAATCTACATTTAATGATTAATACGAAAATAGCATACTTCTACAAACAAAAATGCAATAATCAAAGCACATAAACTGTTTAGCTTGATTTTTGAAATACAAAGGCTTTAGCTGTAGACGATTAACTTGAGAAATAAAATCCTTAAACAAATAAAGATATAAACGTATTTTTAAAATATGTGTATTAATAACATAATGAGGAAATATTCGCAGTGTATCATGATGTTTATATGATCTATTGTATAACTTTGCTTTAAAGCATTCACAAAAGAATCGAAGGCTCGAAGTTACACGAATTTAGATAAAAACTACACTAACAATTCAAACAAAAAGTTATACACATTAACATATTTATTAAACGCTGTGTTTTCTGGTAAACTAGAAAACAAATTTAACTAGTGTTCCATGATTATATTGTATATTTATATTGAAAATAAATAGCCTACCAATAGATTGAAGATCCTGTGATAGCTTTAAAACTTCTTTTTCCAAAGTTTCAATCTAAGAACAGAACAACAGTTACAGAAATACACTATGTGTCACAAACTATTAATTTGTCTCAATCCATCATCTTTTTTTTAGTTGGCACACTTAACTACAATAACTACAAGTACTTTGTGACACAGTACTGATATTTCATGAGCACTTGTTTTATAATTCTATTTAATATATTACATTATATTTAGCTAAAAACATTTGAGTTCATTTACCTTTTTCATTTTCCCTTCCCTAGTCTCATAGTTTTGATTATATGTTTCAATTATTTTATCAATTGGAATCAATTTTTGTTGTAGAAGTTTACACATCACAACATGCTAAATAGAAGAAAAAAGCAGATGGTTAATAAATGTGTTAACATAAGATTAAAATAAATTAAACTCATAAAACAGAAATTAAACTCACAAAACATAAATTTTACAAAGAGTAAAATTATGTGTATGTGATTAAAAATACTAGTAAAGAGTGGCCATGGTAGTGTTTAAAAAACACAATGGTAAATAACCAGCAGGCAGACCTAGACTTTAATGGACAGATGGTAGAGACATACATACAATAGTACAGAGATCAGATGTGGAAAACAAAATAAACAGATAATTTTATAATGGAGAAGGTTGTAAAGCAGCCATTAGAGTATGTAGAGCCACAGGGGTGTATATGAAAACACACACTATGGTTAATATGTTTCAATCATTTTGTCAATGGGCATCAATTTTTGTTGAAAAAGTTTGCATATAACAACATGCCGAAAGTAAAACTTTAAAAGTATTTGACTAGAAAAATTTATTAGTAAAAGTATAGGGGTATAGGGATTATTTTATATAATTCACCAATTATAAATTATTGTAAAAGAAAATATATGTTAATGCAGCAACATGGAATTTATAAAAAAAAAAGAACATAATCTTTAAATTTAATGTGATTTTTTTTATTCATTACATGTTTCTTTCCTTCTTTTTGTACAGTAGATATCAAATATTTATTGTGACAAATTTTCTACCTTATCCGTGTGAACTTGCATCTCTGTGTTGATGTTTTTTATGTTGTTTTTGTACTCTCTTAGATCTAGAGATAGTTTATCTAGTGCTTTCTCTGTCTTTGTTTCTCTTTCTTTTAAATCTGTAATTTCTTTCTTAAACTCATCAATTCTGTTGTCTTGTTCATGTATTTCTTTCCTAATGTTTTTAGAATTATGTTTTTGTTTTTTAAACATCTTGTCAATATTTATCCATAAGCCATTTTGTTCTGTTATAAAGTTGTCTCTCCATTGTTTTATTTCTGATATGTCATCTTCAGTCTTTTGTTGTGTGCCTTGTAGAGAAGCTAGAGTTGCTTCAATATCCTTTAGTCTTCTTATTGTTTCAGAATCACCTTTAATTGTGAGGAAAATGTTTGTAACAATTAATTAAGTATACACGTTATATTAAAACGTTAAAAAGATGTTTATTTTAAATGTTTGTAGGAAAATCAATGTCATGGCAATTTTAACCGGCACAGATAAAACTACATATTAGTGTTTTCTTAAAATATTATAAACAATAAATTTAATATTAAATACTGAAAGCTTAACATATTAATTTTCTTCTACTCTTTAAATAGAGTGTTAATGTGTTGTGCTAAATATTTTTAATTATATAAATAAAACTGACAAGACATAGACACTGTAGAAACATGTTGATCACCTGCTGAGATAAAACTTTTACTCTCTGTTTTTGTCTTGATGGTTTCTGTCAATAAGATAAACTAAGATGTTATATTGACTATGGAATATTTGGTAAGCTAAAACAATGCAATGAATAATTAAATACGTATATATATATATATATATATATATATATATATATATATATATATATATATATATATATATATATATATATGTGTGTGTGTGTGTGTATGTGTATGAGTGTGTGTGTGTATGTGTGTGTACGTGTGTGTGTGTGCAAAAAAGTATATTTAGATAAGAACTTTAACAAATTATTTTCATTTTAAAATAAAATTGAACATATAGATCACCATACCATTCATCATATTCACATGTTCAAATATTACACTCTGTGCTGTAGCTACCATAACAAGCGCATCTTTCACTGTCATATTGGTGTCAGTAGTGTTGTCTCTATATCCAATTGCTTTTGATTTAATCTATAAAATTTTGTTTTTTAAATTAATATATGAGTAGCACTATTTTAACTTCTATCACTTACATAAAACTTAAGTGTGATAGTTGAATCTCTTAATATCATTGTGGAATTTAGAGATAGGATAAATTACTGCTATTTGAAATTAAGTAAAAATAAACTGGCAGCATAACTAATAAACTGACAGAACATAAATATTACTAAATGACTTCCTATTAATACATTTTGGGTTTAAATATAAGGCTGACACTATTTTGACCTAGGTCTGTACAGACATGGCACACTATTTGGTTTGGTTGGAATATTTTTTTAAAAAAATACTAGATCTAGTTATTTACACACACAAATTGGAATTGATGCAATTTGAAACTGAATTAAACGAAGAGGTGAGCCACTGTTACACAGACCCATTTTAGATTTAATGTTTTTGTTTTACTCAGCATCTAACTTAAATATAATATATTTTATATTTTAGCCACCGATATAAAAACATGTGTATTTAGATATTACCTGCTGTACGTAATCACTGATGCTATTCTGTAGTTGAAAACTTGACTCGTCCAATAGATCGAGCTGCGTTGTCAAATGTTTCTTTAAGTGGTCAGACATCTGGAGAATGTATGGCACAATTAACGAAGGTTTTATTATCTCCTTTGATATTAATATTTACGAACTTAGCTAGATCGATGTAGTTTTAATAACAAAGATGCTTTTAAAGTCTGTCGGTGGATCTACTAACATTTTAGTGGCTTGTTTCGTTTATATCTAAACAAAGTGAAACTGAACCATTATTTAACGTTCTAAAACTCCAACAATAAATCGTAAAATACATAGCCAACATTTACATTAAAATAGACTACATGTTATACGCCATTGTATATATGTATAGTATAAGATTATCATCACATTTAAGACTACACTGGATCTATAAGATAAATGATTTAAAACCTTCCTAGTTCTGTGGCCTCCAGTTAATGGTGTCTTGAGTCTTTCGCTGCACACAAATAATATCGGGGAAATCCGGTTTTTATTTAAAACGTTTAATTTGCTTATATATATATATATATATATATATATATATATATATATATATATATATATATATATATATATATATAGTCAACAGTGGCGTAGCGAGGTCGGGTGTCACCCGGCGCGGCACTTAATAGTATCGCCCCCCAGAGGCGTAGCGACCCTTCCCGGTGTCACCCGGTGCGTTCCGCACCCCCCGCCCCCCCCCCTCGCTACGCCCCTGATAGTCAATGTGCAGATGATTGGTGGAAACCAGTTGATCTCAGTTTTCCCGACCCTCCTTAGTCTGAAGAAAATGTGAAAGTCAGTATTAAATGTGTTAAAATGTGTATCTTAATTTTGAGCATATATGTTTATGTTGATGGTTTGTGAGTTCTATAACTGCATGAGATCCTGTCAAATTAAAAAGTTGATACTTAGATGTTAGGGTACTTAAAGGAAAATATTTGCTTTCATAGGTCTCTATTCTGAAAGTATGGTTGCCATGCCACCCAGTGGCGTAGCGAGGTCGGGTGTCACCCGGTGCGGCACTTAATGGTGTCACCCCCCCAGAGGCATAGAGACCCTTCCCAGGGACAAACTTTCAAGTTTTCGATTTGCACCCCCCCCTCAAACTTTCGATTTGCACCCCCCCCTCGAGTTTTCGATTTGCACCCCCCCCTCAAACTTTCGATTTGCACCCCCCCCCTCGAGTTTTTCTCTATATATTTTGCTATTTTTTGCCTTGGTGTCACCCCCCTAATTGGTGTCACCCGGTGCGGTCCGCACCCCCCGCCCCCCCCCCTCGCTACGCCCCTGATGCCACCTTTTGTAAAGGACTTAAGGTTAAAAACTCACAATACATATATTTATCATATAATCATTTATCGTTCTTTAACTAACTCTATAACTATTAGATATATTTTCTAAAAACTTGTCTTTTTGCTGGTAAAAATAAACAACAAAGTTACGCGTTCTGTCCCTATGTGTGTCACTTTGTGAGGAACGCTCCGCCCCCCAACCTTACCTCCTTCTAAAGCCCTACTTCCCCCCCCCCCCTCCCGTAGAGTCTTCTGAAAGAAACTCTAAATGCGACTATTGCTAAGTTTGAGCTTAAAAACGACAACACCCTGGAAGAGCTGCCTGAAAGAAATTTAGGGGTATGGCTACAATTGTATTTAGCATGAAAGTGCAGTAACCATTTACATCAAGGGTTAATCCGGTTAAAATGTCGATTCTGGATAAAAATCCGTTTTCAATTATATTTTTCATTTCCGGCTAACTTTGAAGTTGAGGTGGTGATTTTGGTTTTGGCTTCAGTTTAGAGAAAAGGACAATACTGTCAACCTAGCGCACGCTGTATTTTTCCTCAATAGGGTCATTTATCAAAATATATAAATTTTACAAGATTTTGTATTTAACTTACCCTTGTTCTTCCAAAATACACAGTCGCATTAGCACCGAGACAGACACACAAGAGGCTTTCGATTTGCGCCCTCCCCCCCCCCCCACCCTCAAGATTTCGATTTGCACCCCGCCTCAAACTTTCGATTTGCATCCCCCCTCAAGCTTTCAATTTATTTTTCCAACCCATTTTGGCGCCCCCTAAGGTCGGCGCCCGGGGACATATATCCCCCCGCCCCCCCCCCCCTCGCTACGCCTCTGAGACACACACAGAAACACACATACACAATACTTACATCCAGACAGTTATATATAATAACTGACGTTTATAATTTTTAAATTATGGTCATAAAGTGTGACGAGTCCACCCTCGCCAATTATTGCATCATAAGTTAAAACACCTTTTACAGTGGGGTATATGAAGTGGTTATAACACCACCTGAACACTCACTCCCTACAACACTGGACCACGCAAAGGAAAAATACGTTGTTTTTTTCTTTGTTGAAAGGGGGTGGGTTATTAACTTGGTTTTAGATTGGAAATTCCCTTTTATCGTCCACTTGGTGATGATGTAAATATGTGTACTTACATTGCTTCACTTTCATTTCGGTGTTTATGTTTTTCAATAAAATAAGATTCTCAACATATTATGTTTTAGAAACATATAGGCTTAAATTATTTCGTGAAAGTGCTTGCAATAATTAAATAATATTTGCTAAACGCTTATTGTTAACATATTTGTTAAAATAATTGTGTATGTATTTAGTTCACTACTACTGTTGACAGCATGTATAGATTAAGATTTACCATAAATCAATCGGGAACTAATGTTGAAGGAGCAAGTGTTTAACGCAAGTCTGGTGGTGTGGTGACATGGCATGGTCGTGTTGAGACAAAAGATAAATCTCTTGATGTTTTGTATACAGCAACTGGCTCTGTTGACTGCGAATGTACACATTTTCCTTTTCTCTTTCGGTTATCTAATTTTCATGTAATAATAGCTCAATTTTTAAAAGCCAAAATGTGAATTTGTGTAGAAGGAATACTCGAGAAGTTTTATAAACAATCGAGTCTCGAGTTCTATTCCTGGTTGTGTCCGTATAATGTTATAATATTTTTTGCTAAAATTGGATCATAATCGTATTTTGCAATTAATCATCCTATTTTTTTAGATAACAGTAAGTTTGCTATTGATTAGACAATCTGACAGGTTAATGACGATGTCCTGATTAAGAAATTGGTGTTTTCAATAAAACGATAGAGGACTATTATCAAATTTTTTGTTTAAAACTTAAGATGTACATGCACTTTGGCCCACAAAAAAGCTTGTAAAATATAAAATGCAAAAAGAAAGTTGAATTTTTCTGTCAAAAGATAGAATTTTACTTGATAAAACTGATTTTAATTTTATGATATATCTACTTGCTGTTGATTTTATTCCATGATTATATAACTATGTCTACAGTTAAAACATGTAGGCCTATGTGTGTTTAAAATAAAATAAAAATTAACAGCAATGCACAAAACTACCTTCAAATCATCAAGACGAACACTTTTGCTTAATTATTAAATTAAACTTACCCAGCTATTTTTATAGTAACACAAATAGAATAACTTTCAGAGTACAATATTATGTTTTAAGTAAACTGCAAGAAACTTACTTTCCTTCTCGTTGTGAATACTAACACCTGTTTTTTAAATCAAATACAGCTTACTTACTTATAAATTGATTGCTCGGAACAAAAAGCAACGTTTTAGTTGTAAGTGGTGTGTTTTAATATACAATCAGTAGTCAAACAGAAGGGAGAAGAAAAATGTGTACATACAAAATCCTCAAAGTCAGTAGTTGATTGTTATGTAATTGTAGTTAGATTGTATGTAATATCATAGCGTATGTAATGTATGATAATGTCCGTACAATACAAATAAATGAAAACATGATAAATATTGAAACTGTCTGTATATGATTAAGTATTATATATTGTTTATTGTTTTATCAATCCAAGGAATACATTAATAATCCTTCAAGTGTTACTGCACATGTAAATAATCTCATCGTAATTAATACTATTAAAAATATCTTAAACTACGGAATAGCACATGATAATCGTCTTTTTCCCATTCGTTTGCAGGACAAATGGGGTTGATGAAGTAGATTTGAGCTGTTTTAATTAGCTCGGCATACAAAGGGATAATGTGGTCAGCACTATGTTCAGGCACCTTGTTTCCTTAACGTGAGTTACAAACCCACCAGAGGTAGGTTCGAACTCGAGACTTTCAAGCAGTCTAGTTCTCTACAGCTAGGCCACGCCGCCAATCTATATGCATAAACTATCTATAAAATAAGCCGCTAGGTTGTGTGTCTGTCACTTTTCAGACTATCTACTTTAAATAGAGAACAAAATCAATGCCTTGCTGTGCACGCTTTACATAATCATATCACAAGTAAAAAATCGAAGTTTATTCTATCCTGCAAATGGAGAGATAACAGAATAAACTGACATGGGAATAAAAATTGATATGTTTTCAAAGAAACAAGCGAACTTTTTGAAAAAAAAAAGTTACTCTTATAGCCTTCTCAATTAAGTGGCAATTAAAGTAGTGTACTCATTTTTGTTATAAAAGATAATCTTTAAACTAATTTATGAAATCATAAAATGTCGAAAATCCGGAGAATAGTTTTAATCAAAAACCAATTAAAATAAATAATGAGATGCAAGGTAAGACAGATAAATTAGACATGTATTGCAATAAATTAGAAGCTATTTAGAATTGATATCTACACTACAATAAGAGCAAATGAAAAATAATATGTATACAACAAAGTCTTGTGAAAAACTGCTGACTAAGGTAATATTTTTAAAAAACGTGTTACGCATAATAGATTTTATTCAGTTTAGTAATTAAAAATGTATTATATTGCACAATTTATATATATAATATATTTTAACTTACACGACAAAGATTGATACCAATTGACATAAAAATACAAACATATAATGAAAAACTATGAGACTAGGGACGGGAAAGTGATGGAGGTAAACATTCCAATACATTTTTTAAAAATGCATTTTATACATTCCCCTTGAACACAATTTAGACCTATACGAAAGGCAATGTTGTTAAACGTTCTCCTTTTTTTATGCTGCAGTTGGGTACTAATGTAATGTTTTGTATAGCTCTAAGATAAACATTGAAAAAGACTATATATTGATGTCATGTTAATATTTAAATTAAATTTTAAAGACTAACCTAATGCTTAAATAGATTAAAAATAGAAAGTGTTCTTTTTATAGCGGAGACGAATGTATCTTGAAAGTTTGAAGAAAATCTGTGTGGTGGCAGTGTTTTACAAAATTTGCTACATCCCACAAACAAAAAAAAACTAAACTAATGAGCACATACACATTGTAAACTACATAATTGCTTAGAATGATAAAAAATGTTTTGTGCAGTTATATACATTTGTGAAACCAAAAATACTAGAGCATTAATTATCAAAGCATTATAAAGTCTTCAAGCTACGATTTGTTGGTGCAACATCTAACACAGTCTGACAGACAAAGCATATGTCGATCCTCTAGACATTTTTAAAAAGTGATTGTTTATTCTTAAAGGTTTTAAGTAAAAGCAATGATGTGTTGAACGTAAATGTATTGATACAAATAGTTATAGTAAGATGTATGGTATTCAAAACTGTTAAGGTAAGTCTTTATATAAACTTACAATTGAATGTTATTTTGTGTTTATTGATGTGGATACACATTTTTGGTCTTTAGAAGTTCCCATTCACTATGTTACATTATGTACTTCTATAAACTAACGATAGTAAAAGTACTGTTACCCGACAACTTTGAATCATGATCAGCATGAAACACTTCAAAGTAAAGTTCTTGACCTTTATTCATGTCCACAACCACTGACCCAGCAGCATTTGTGTCGGCACATTTAACTTCTATAGCCGTAAGACACTTACCTTCTACCACAACACCAACTCGAATATTTTTATGTTCCCATTCATGCAGGGTTACACAGATAAGGTATAAACCATCACGAGGAGATACAAATATTCCTGTTGTTTGATCAAAGTGTTGACCGTTGTATTCATTTACTTGATCAAATGCTGTAAGGATTAGGTCATCACTGACAGGTGTCTCATATTCCAGCTCGATACAACACACATATCTGTTACATAAGCGTGTTTCTGTTGAAAATAAAACATGGCATCGTTTACCAAGTAATTGTAACTTATAGTTTAGTAATGTCCAGAGTTTTAGTCGTGATAATTTTCATTTCCTACTTTTAAAAAAATGGTTAGTACTGTTTACAAATTTAGTAGAGTAAATTTAAGTACTTTTCAAACCTGAATAACAATGGGGCAGCTGGACTAGAGTTCACCAGTTTCTGCAACCTCGACATATGAAGAGATAATGTAATCAGCACTACGCCCAGCCGTCTTTACTTAACATGACTAAGGTACCCATCAGAATTGTGTGGGTTTATGAACGGTCTACTGGCAAGAACGCGTAATCCGAACTGAATAACTTTCTAAAATTGTCTTCTGTCTAGTATATTTTAAAGGCCACATGTTTTCATTGACAATCAATTACATACCAATTGTTTGAAGATCATTTGATATCTTTACAACATATTTATCCAGACTTTGAAACTAAGATTGAACAAGAATTAATTAATTACAACATTATATATTAAAATATCAATATAACTCATAATCCGCATAAAATATGGTCATCTTTAAAAATACCATATTCACTACAAACACACAATCCCCTTATATGAAAGCACCAATATAAGAAAAACTACAGACGTGTCGTAAAAAAATAATTTCAAATACTTAATTTTTAAATAGAAGAGAATCTCGTCGTAAAAAGCACTGAACTCCAGTGAACAGCAAATAATATGTGTATAACAGTTCAGTACATGAGAACTTTATAAGGAAAGACAGAAGAATTAAGTTAAATATAAATTCATATCGAAAATAGGATAAAGTTCTATTTTTGGTCACCAGAAAGTACTCACAATTTGTAAGAAAAAAGAGAGAAGTGGATCTTCTACACATATTTAAAATTTCGTCTAACTGATAGACTTTTGAAAAACAAAAATTGAAATAAACGTTCCTCTTTCGATTACCTAGCTGTTACGATACTCAAGTTATTTTTTTCTCAAACACAAAGACATACTGACACACAGACACACACAGCGACATAATTACATACGTAAGAACGTAAATGAGGACCGGCAGGCAAACACACAGACAGAAAGGCAGACAACCAGGCAAACAGAGAGATAGACAGACAGACAGAAAGGCAGACAGACAGAAAGACAGACAGACAGACAGACAGACACACACACACACACACACAGACAGACAGACAGACACACAGACAAACAGACAGACAGACAGACAGACAGACAGACAGACAGACAGACAGACAGACAGACAGACAGACAGACAGACAGACAGACAGACAGACAGACAGACAGACAGACAGACAGACAGACAGACAGACAGACAGACAGACAGACAGACAGACAGACAGACAGACAGACAGACAGACAGACAGACAGACAGACAGACAGACAGACAGACAGACAGACAGACAGACAGACAGACAGACGGACAGACAGACAGACAGACAGACAGAAAGACAGACAGACAGACAGACAGACAGACCGACCGACAGAAGGACGGACGGACGGACGGACGGACGGACGGACAGACGGACGGACAGACAGACAGAAAGACAGACAGACAGACAGACAGAAAGACACACAGACAAACAGACAGACAGACAGACAGACAGACAGACAGACAGACAGACAGACAGACAGACAGACAGACAGACAGACAGACAGACAGACAGACAGACAGACAGACAGACAGACAGACAGACAGACAGACAGACAGACAGACAGACAGACAGACAGACAGACAGACAGACAGACAGACAGAAAGACAGACAGACAGACAGACAGACAGACCGACCGACAGAAGGACGGACGGACGGACGGACGGACAGACGGACGGACAGACAGACAGAAAGACAGACAGACAGACAGACAGAAAGACACACAGACAAACAGACAGACAGACAGACAGACAGACAGACAGACAGACAGACAGAATGACAGAATGACAGACTGACTGACAGACTGACTGACTGACTGACTGACTGACTGACTGACTGACTGACTGACTGACTGACTGACTGACTACCTGACTAACTGACTGACTGACTGACTGACTGACTGACTGACTGACTGACTGACTGACTGACTGACTGACTGACAGATAGGCAGGCAGGCAGGCAGGCATTAGAATGAAATAGTTCATTTCTTCATATTCTAAAATTGAAAGATAACGCCATTAGTACTTTTTGTAGTTTAAACATGACTTTTCACATCGTTTTTTTAACGTTCTTGTCACAGCTATAAATTATCTGGTTGCATTATTAAAATTGTGTTTCTACATTTGAACATGCCTTTATTTTTATTTTCGTTCTTTAAATAAAATTTAGTTTATACATTTAAAACACACAATGTAGTATTTTCAACGAAAGTCTGTATCTTTAAGTTCCCCATATATTATCGCTGAACATACGGGAGAGAGGGGGATAGAGAGCGAGAGAGAATTGCGCACATGGATGGACTTTTATATATTAGTATAGTGTCTACAATAGAAATGTACACAGTGATAACTCTTTAAATATAGATCAAACTTTGATAATTTTAGCACACGCAGTAGACTAGCGGGCATTGTGGAAAACTTTTATTTCTAAAAGCCAGCCGGAAAACTAGAGGTTTCCAGACTTTTATAAATCTTACAATTAATTTTCTAGATATTATCCAGACTCTGCAGAAACACTGGCCTCGCCGCAATAAGTAATTTTTTGGTATGAAACCAAAACGTATAGGGTTTATTTTTTATTAGGTCCTATAAAATATACTTTATTTTTAAAGACTTTCTGGTTTCTAGTTATAATATTATATTAAGCCCAAGTAAACATGATACCGAAACTATCAAATCACTATATTAAATTATCAACTAATAGCATAGCAAGGTACAAATTACTTTTTATTGAATTGTTTTTTGGCAGAATTGTTTAAGAGATTTACTAAAATTGTGTGGATGTTCAAATGGGTGTAGTTGGAGAGTCAAAGTAGAGACAGAACTAAGAAAAGTAAAACTCTAGACATAGACGAAAACATGAGATATGTCAGAGGGGAAAAATATATTGAAGCAGATCACAGTGATGGAAGTAGAGAAAAGACAAAACATATTATCAATATAACATCTAATAACGATTCCAGTTTTCTAAATATTACAAAAAAGTACCTTAGACAACAAACTTTCAAACTTGTTTGTTTTATCTTCTTGTATAGCAGATATCAAATCCGAATGTCTTTTAATGTCTTGTGTTACATGATCTGTTTTATCTGTCTAAACTCTCATCTCTTTATTTAGTGTGTGCAGATTGTTTTCAAATTCTTTCATATCTAGAGACAGTTTCTCCAGTGTTTTGTCTGATTCTTTTATTTTCAAACTGTCAATTTGTTGATTCAGCTCTTCTATTTTGTTTCCTTGTTCATTTGATTTGTTTCTTAAAATTTTAAAATTCTGTTTTTGTTTCTTAGACCAGTTTTGAACTTTTATCCCATAATCACTGTGTTCTGTTACAAAGTTGTCTCTCCTTTTTTTGTTTGATATATAATCTTCAGTCTTTTGGTTTGTGTCTTGAAGGGATAATAAATCTGTCTCCATATCCTTTAGTCTTATTGATGTTTCTGGATCATATTTAACTGTTAAATTAAAATCAAAATCGTATCAATGACATTCAGAAAATATTTTTTAACAAAGTAAAAATAAATTTAACACAAAATATTGGGAGACAAGAAAAAAACATTGTTAATTAAATATTTAGTTAAATAAAATCAAACTCTATCTGATTCATTTCATTCATTTAATGTTTTAGATGGAAAAAAACACAAATTCAACACACGTTTCTTCTCATATATTAATAACGGACTGTTAATAATTTTGTCAAAGAATTTTGCAATTATTCAATAGATTACCTGTTAATATAATATGCTATGGGTTAATGAGTGTAAATTTTAATTAGTATTATTAAATTACCAGATATTGGATCTTTCTTAACTTTAATATCCGGTATTGTTTCTTCTAAAGACTTCACTGTGGCAGGGGACAAGTTGATGGATTCTGTCAACAAGATACACACAGACATTACATCAAACTAATTTATGAGATGAAGAGGTTGTTGTCAGATGGGTGCATATTGACAGGCTTTAATTCATACAATATTTGCTATCAATCTTCTTAAAGTAAAACATTATAAAACTATATCACTAATACAAAATATCATTATTTTAAAAGCTCAACTGTTTTGAATTGTTATCAAAGCAATTATATATTTACTGGGAAAAAATAAAGACTATGACCATACCACTGAACATGTCTGTGTGTTCTAGTATTGTACTCTGTGCTGCTGCTACCATAGCAATTGCATCTTTCACAGCTTTACTAGAGCCAGGCATATTGTCTACACATTCATTGGCTCTGGTTTTGATCTGGACAAGTAAGAAAACTATAAAAACTGTTGACCAGTGCCCTATAACACTATGTAGAAACAATGTTGGTCTAAAACTGTTTAGTTGCGTAGAAACAATGTTGGTCTAAAACTGTTTAGTTGCATGCTAAGGCTTTGAATACGTTATAAGGATTAGAATAATTTAACGTGATTGAAATATAATGTTCAAATTACAACATTATGACATAGGAAATGTTAATGAATGCTAGACTTGACTGTTTTGAATAAAATTATTCCGTTTATAATACACATCGATGATACAAAAACAATTTGTATTTACCTGCTGTACAAAATCAGTGATGCTATTCTGTAGATGAAAACTTGACTCGTCCAATAGATCGAGCTGGGTAGTTAAATGTTTCTTTAGGTGGTCAGACATCTGTGAAAACAAATAATTGTTATTCTTAAGGCTACAGTGGTTTAATTTTCCCACAAATATATAATCGATAAATTATATTACAATATGTAGGATTAATTTTAATTTAGTTTTAGAAGTAAACTTTTGTAATGTTTTACTTAATATAATGGGGTAATAACAAAGTGAAACTGAAACTTTTTAAAACACCAGATATTAGACCCTAAATCCTAAAATATATAACCAACATCTACAGCATAAACAGACTACACGTTATATTTCATGTTATCAACCATACAACAAATACGTTGTAGGTCTATGTCTTTACATATCATTCTTACCTTACGACTATATTTCAGAACAATATCAGCCAAATGTTGAGTCCAGAGTTGCTTAAAGCTTCCGACACTTAATATCGGGAAAATCCAATAAATTTATAAAAATTCAGTCGCGTTTATTGAATATTGTATGCAAGTGAAGGCGCTAGGTCGGGTGCCATATATATATATATATATATATATATATATATATATATATATATATATATATATATATATATATATATATATATGCCTATATATATAAACGACAGTTGCATTAAATTTTATTAACATTCTTTAATGATTCATTTTCTTTTGTAAGTATCCGATTTTGTAACTGCTATGTTGTAGATTACAATTTAAAAATTTGATTAATAAAAAAAAAGAGAAAAATTGTAGCAAATAGTGGGTACAGATGGTTAGTATGAGTGGCATCGATTATTTGAAGTATATTATATTCTATGTACCACCCATTTCATTCTCGTTTCCTCTTTCACGCACCACACTTCTACTCAAGGATAGCCTAATCCCAACATCAAATCTATAAATGATCTTCTAGACAGAAGGCCTCGCAGCTTTTATTTTTTTGGCTTACTCCTTTGGCCCCACACCCATAATTATATTTTTCAGAAACAACAAACCACTTTCAGTAAAAACAATAAAGCCTCATGTGTTGTTGTCCCCAGCTGACGAGCTTATAATAATCGTTTTAACTGTAAGATGATCTCCTCAAACTAATGAGCCCTAGACGATTTTAGCTAGTTTAAATCAAAAGTTAAAATAGAAATAACTGTGTCGGCAGAGTGTGAGTATTTGTGTGTCTGGGGGGGTGTAGTTAGAATAGCTTAGAAGGTTTGTGGTTTAGTATTTACTGAATGCACCGACGTAGGGTGTATTTAATTATTAATCGAAATAAAACATTAAAAAGCAATCTGAAATACTATATTTACACATCTTATAAAACAATTTTAAAAATTCGTAGCTTTCTTTTTCTAAAAACAAACGGTTTAAAATATTTAAACATCTGAAAAATACAGTTACCCTTAGACATTGCGAGCTTGTTTAATATAAGATTGAGTGAACTTTTTTTTCATAATTTTAGTCAATATAACGGCCAACAAGCCCATTCGCCACATAGATGGAGAATATTGTTTTGTAACTAAAAATATCGAAAACACATTTTATGAGGTTGCCGTCGGGCTAAATTAGCGAAAACATGAAGAAGTTGTTTCTTATGAAAACATAAATGTAACATTTGATATTGAAACAGCTTTAACTTCTCTACAAGACACAAAACAAAAGACTAACGATGAGATATTAAAAATAAAACAATGGAGAGAAAACTGTGTAACAGAACAAAATGTTATGGTGGTGAAAATTGACAACCTGTCTAGGAAACGAAAATTGAATTTGAAAAATCAAAGAAAACAAATAAATGAACAAGAAAACAAAATAGAAGAGCTGAATCAACAAATCGAAAGTTTAAAAAGAAATATCAGAGATAACACTGGCATTATATGGTAATATTCGTGTGCTAGTCGGGATCCGGACAAAAGGCCAACATGGACAAAAGGTCGACAAGACAAAAGGTCGACAAGTTTTATAAAACAACAGACTACATTTACAGGCATGTATAATATCTAAAATATGTTATTATATACGACTGTTTGAGTTTCTCATAAATATTCTTAGGTACATAAAATAGGATAAAATAAAACACACGATGAAATCAATTATTTGTTGCCGATATATTGGTCCATATATAGGCAAATCACAGGGTAGATTTGCACAAAAAAACTAAAATAACTTACCGATTTTGGCACACTTGTATCACAATCTTAATAGAATTAATGAATCCAACAAATATAGTATACACTTTTTTTTCACGCAATTCGCAATGGACGAAATACATTATAATTCAAAGTTTGTCGGTATTTAACATGTAGTCCATCTGTCCGAGGTTCCACTATATGGACTTTTAGATAAGCTTTCCTGCTCTATTCACTCCGACCATCCAGTAACCAAAATTTGTTTATAAACTAAATGTTATGTGGGTATAGAAGGAAATATACATAGAAAAATCTGTTGACCTTTAATTCTATTTTTAGCGCAATACTGGACAATTGCGATTATTAACTCGTCATTTCTGGATGTGTGTCCGCAGCTTTAAGTCGTATCTAAGTCGTATCTCCTCCTCAACGAAGCAATATCGAGGACTAGTTCCAAAAGCAAAAATGTCAAGCAAGTTCCGAGGATGATTGTGGGCCAAAAAAATTCCCGGAATTCCTTCCTGGATTTCCCGGAAAAGCCAAAAAAACTCGAAATTTCTGTTATTTCTGGATGTGTGTCCGCAGCTTTAAGTCGTATCTAAGTCGTATCTCCTCCTCAACGAAGTAATACCGAGGACTAGTTCCAAAAGCAAATATTTTAAGCAAATATATAGGATGATTGTGGGCCAAAATATTCCCGGAATTCCTTCCTGGATTTCCCGAAAAAGCCAAAAAACCTCGAAAAAATGCAGTTTTTGCTCCATATCTCGGAAACCAGACCACTTAGCGACTTGAAACATTTACCAATCAATTTCTGCCATAATTTAGAACAATATTGCCGAAGAAAGTTTTCAAAAATATCCTTTCGTTCGGTCACAAATTTTTTTTTAAAATTACAATACACTACAGTACTATATAGCAATATAGAGAGCGCGACAACTAAATACCCCTACACGTTCGCAAATTTTTAAAAATCTCGTTAATAAATATTTTTTCTATTTTGTTTTGAATTATTAAAACTACTTGTGTTGCATTATTTATTTGCTGCATATATGATTTATCTCGATTTAAAATTGTTATGGATAACATAAGGAAATTGCGCTTAAATTGTCACTAGACTTTTTATTAACTTGTTTTTAGATTCATGTAATTTTTACCTCATTTTTCCTTATTTAAAAAGTATCTTTTTAACATGTAAGCGAAACGATGTGAATATACAACCCACAAATCATATTATACTACTTTTAATGTATCAAAATACGTCATTTACTAACATGTTATACTATCTAGTCAATAACAATCTTATTATTATTAAATAATTAAAAAAATTCATTACACATTTTTATTACTCCTTAAAACAATGACCAGTGTTTCTTCCAGACTTTTTTCTCCGGGGGGGGAGGGGGGCACTTGAAATTTTCGGGGGGGGGGCGGACTAAAATTTCCGGGCACTGTTAAAAGTATATATATTCTATATAAATTTCATTTTATTTGGGGGGGGGGGGGGGGGCGGTAGACTTTTTTCGGTAGATTCCACCCCCCCCCCCCCCCCCCCCACCCCCCCCCCCCACCCCCGAAGAGATGTCTGGAGAAAGAAACTCTGGTTATGGCAGTTATTTTACGTCCCTTGCATTATATTTACTGATGTGTCCCTTGAATGTCTTATCTCTGTGGTGTATCGTTTAATGTATAGTGTGTTAGTGAGTTGGCCAAGAATGATGACGTATAGAGGAAATGTTGGCAGAGAAGATGTATAGTATGAAGTGTCGATGTTAACTTCAAGGGGTCTCCTGTTTATTCAAATGATAAGAAACAACTAATGTAACACACTGCTAATATATTAATTTGATTTTTTTCAACATACCTACTTATTTGTGTGATTGATTCCATTTGTGTATTCCTTTTTACTTTCTCGTATATACGAAGTATAGAGAAAGTATTGTAATCGTGCACAAAAATAACATGAAATTTTGACAGTTTTCACCGTTTTACTCCTCAGTCCTTCATCACATCCGGAGTATAGAGGACTTATTTTAATCAGGCAAAAATTATAAATACAAATATATAAACGTTTTGGCGTTTTATGCGTTATCGAGTCGTAAAAACTGGACTTTGCAATTATATCCGTATGTCTGTGTGCCTGTGTGTCTGTCTGTGTGTAAACACGAAAACTTGATAACACGATAACTACAGCTAGGTTGATGGAATTTCAAATATAAGTATTTTATCAAAATCGTAGATCCTGATCAACTTTTAAGCGATTTCCGATAACCGGAAGTTGTACTTTTTCTCTTTTGAATTTTTCAAAAGCCTATAAGTTGCGTACTATTTTAGATAGATTCATGAAATTTCACACGTAAGTAAAAGATCTAATTCTCTACCTTATGTCAAATTTTGAGTAATTTCCGTTGAATGGAAGTACTAATTTACGCTATTTCCGATTTCTCAAAAAACGCATGTAAATTTATAAAGTACTAATAATATCCCGCACTTTTATACACATTTTATTAGGCGTTCACTTGGTGTGGGACGGAGTGGTCTAGCGGTAGAGAGCTGGACTGCTAACCCATTAGTCTCGAGTTCGAATCTGAATTCAAGTCAGTAGACCGTCCTGAGTCCACCCAACTCTGATTGGTACCTAACTCCTGCTAGGGAAAGTAAAGGCGGCTGGGCATAGTGCTGACCACACTATCTCTTCATATGCCGAGGTCACAGAAACAAGTGAACTCTACTTCACTTGCCCCATATACCGTCAGGTTTGAAAGGGAAACTTTTCACTTGGTGTGCAATTCTTTTTTTTACGAGATTCTATTCTATTATAAAAAGTATAAGTAATTAAAAATGGATAACAAATATTGTCTATGTCCTGAGTTGCCATCCCTCGTAATTTTATATTAGAATATTCGAGAAAGTTTAGGGGAGATCACTCCAGGTTTATGTTTTTATTTATCTATGTTTGCCATTAATAGTGTAAAAAGAACTGGCTGTGGATGGAAAACGTGAACGTATCATTGTCTACTTGGTTTTTTAATGTTGATTCAATAGTCTAAGTAAAAGTGGTAAAGCTCAATCGTATCGTGTTAACATAATTAATAAAACAAACAAACTGGATAAAAACCATGCAAATTTAACATTTAAGAATGCCTTTAACAAAAATGTAAAATATAGCAATTAATTTTATAACGAAATTACTAAAAGTATTGTTAAAATTATGTGAAAATTTAAAAAGTACTTTTGTTTTTCATAACTTAGTTAAATTATAAAAATTCATAATACATTTGTGAGAAAACAAATGCTTATAAGTAGCACTTATTTTATTACATTGTTATATTTGTAAATAAATTAATTTTTTTTGAACGAATATGAAACGTTTGTTAATACATATCATAAAGACAATATATGCTAAATAATTCAAAAGCTGTAAAACCAGCATTTGCAACATGCGTCTTGATATTCAAAGTGTTAAAATTTGAAACACCCACAAAATAAATAGTAAAATGAAGACAAATAATTATTTTTCAAAAATCAGCTCGCTGGTTCAGACAGTAAATATATATACAAGGTAAAAAAATTAACTCCCTGTCAAATAAATGAGTATTTTAAATGAGGACTTCAATTTTATACATACATATATCATATGTATGTATATCATATTTGTGTGTAAAAAAACAATATATGTTTAGCATAGTTAGACATTTAGTAGTAATAATAGTTATTCTCTCTAAGGAAAGCTGTTGGTATTATTAAAGGAGCTACATTAGAACTAGTACAAAAAATTCGCCAGTACTTGATCAATTTAAAGTGATTTGGAACTTCTAGTTTTTGTTCTCCATCCGGGTTGATTTG